CTATAAGTTACTTATAAAAACACTATAAATTAATCTAGGTTAATAATATCCTTATCTATTAGTAAGTTAATTAAGGCTGTTATATTATAGTTAAGTTAAAAGTAGGCATATAGTAACTAGAAGTGTTTAAAGGGGAATTAGTCTACATTTTCTTTAAGTTTATATTAGAGCTTATGTAGAAAGAAAGGTAGGTCTTTCTGTTTTCTGTTAAACAGTAAGGGATTAGGGAGTTAGTTAGATTTTATTACTAAGTTAAAAGGGTTACAGGTTGTAGGCAGTGTTAGGTAGGAGAAAGTTAAGCTATCTTTAGACTTTTAGGTAGGCTTTAAGGCTAGTAAGTTCTTAGTTCCTACTACTATAACAAGAGTTAAGGCAGAAATAGACTACTTAATAACATAAAGCTGTTCTTTAAAGTTCTTTTAAAAAGCTTTAAAGCTTATAACGTAGCAGCTTTTCTATAGAGTAAGCGCTTTTTAAAAGGCTTCTTAGCTTACTTTAATAGCTTAGAGTTGTGCAAGTACTAAGCTTATTAGATTAGATTTAAAGGCTATTCTTAGCTAAAGTTTTAACACAACATAATGTTATAATTATGCATAAGTAAGGTTATAGAGCTTTACAGAGGTCTAGTTTAATTACTACGTAAGGTATTATAGTAGGTACAAGACGTTGTGTAAGGAATAGAAAGGTTTAAAAAGAAATTAGTAATTAAATACTTAGCTTAGAAGTCTAAGCGCTTTAGGTATAAATTAAGCCTGTTCTAGGTTTAGTTAGTGTTAAAGCAGTTTGTGCTTAAGTTTATGTCCGTGTCGTGTCGTGTTCATGTTAGACGTGCACTAATAATACTCTAGTACGCATCTAATACAGTTATGTCTGGGATCCAGGGAGGATACCGTGACACTGTCGTAGTATTTTAGTGTATTTAAAATAGCTATAGCAGGTCTAGAAGGCAGTTTTCTACTTATCCCTTTTCTTAATCTAAATGCAGTAGTAGGTGTTGCGCAGGTCTAGTTTAGAGTAGATTTTAGCGCAGCCTAATTAATTTAAAGATTCTTTAATTAATAAGAGAAAGTATTAGTTTTTTACTATAATAGTATTAAGGCCTTAGTAGTTTATATAAAGTTAAAGTGTTTTATTCTTTTTTTTTATAAATAGAATAAGGGCCTTTACTTTTAACATTAAGCAGCGTATTTATCTTTATTCTAGGTTTGTCTAGATATACTTTTATAAGACTTTTACCTTAGTAGTAAAGAGACTATAAAGAGGGCTATATAAAAGTTTTTTTTTTTTATCTAAGTTAATTACAAGCTTATGTAGGCTATAGTTAGGCAAAAGAAAAGTGTTATGTTTTAAAAATGCTTTTTAAAACTTCTTAAAGTATACTAATAGTAGCCTAGGCTTCTCTAAGGTTAGTTAAGATACGCAAGTAATTGCTATTATAAACATGTTATTATTAAAGTTTATTAGTACTTTTATAAATGCCTTTAAGCTGTTTAGACTAATCTTTTTATAAAGTTAGTAGTGTTTTTAGAAATAAACTGTCTTATATATAAAGTTAGAAGTTAGGTTCTATTTTTTTAGCTAAAGTATGCCTAATATTATACTGTAACTAAAGATTTTTATTATAAAAAAGGTAAATTTACTTACTTAAGACTACCTTTTACTATTTTTAATATAGTAAAAGACGTTAGCCCTTTCTATAACCTCTAATAGCTGTCCTTTTAGAGATATAAAGGAGCTTAGGTCTACTAGGTTAACTACTACACTTACTTATTTAGTAAAGTTTTAATTTAGAAAGTTTACTTCTGCCTTAGAGTCTATTATAGCTTAGTAGTAGTAAGAGGAGGTTAGACCTTTAATAGCTTTTAAGAGAGATATAAGTGTTACCTTTACAGCACTAGGCCTAGCTTTTTAAGTACTTACTGCTACTACTTTCTACCCCTTTAAGTATTCTACCTAGCCTATAAAACATAGAGGGGGGCGTTCTAGAGCGCAGCTTTTTTTGCTAGGTTGTCTTTTTTAAGGGGGCAGTTTCTTTATATGTAGCCCTACTTATAATAGTTATAGCAGCTTTTTTTTTTTAGTTTTTAGCCTTTTATACTTTTTTAGCTTTTAACTTTTAGGGCTTAGCAGCTATAAAGTTATAAGGCTTTATATTATTTTTTTAGTGTTAGTTACTTTAGAGTTTTTTGTAACTTACCTAGCCTTTTAAGAGGTGTTCTGCTTCTTCTAGAGGCCTCTTGCTACCCTTACAGTTCCCTCCTGCCTAGAGGACCTGCTAGTGCTAGTTAGCCTCTGTCTTTAATTTAAAAAGACTACTCTACACTTTTAGTTAAAAGTTTAGCCTATACTATACTTTTTTATCTAGAGTAGAGAAAAAGTTATATATTAAGTTTTAATTTAAGTTATTTAAAGCTTTAATAAAGTTAATATTCTTTTACTAAGTTTTAAAATAGTTAAAAAGTTTAGTAAAAGTTTAATTTTTTTAATTTATGTTTTTAATTTTTTACTTAGCTAAATTTTTTTTTTTAAGCATGTCTAAAAAAGCTTAATAGCGTTTTCTTTATAAAGCCTTAGTGTAATTAAGTTAGGTAGTTAACTATAAAAATTATATATACTACTCTATTCTAATAGTCACAGGGGTCCTCCCCTAGGTAGCGCTAGCAAAACTTTACCTGTAATGCTGCATTTAAAAAGACTAAAAAGTTTTAAATATATTCTTTATAGCTTTTAATATATACTTATAGTTACTTATAAAACTTTTCTTTAAACTTTAGGGGTTAGTTAGGCTTAGGCAACTATAGCCTAAAAGGGGTGCCTATAGGAGCAGCTGTCCTAGGTGGGAATAATAAAGGTTAGCTAGTAGCTGTCTATAGAGGGGCTGCTAGCCCTAGCCCTACAGGGGTTAGGTTATTATAGAGGGAGTTATAAGGCTTTTAAAAGAATTATAATGTTTTTTTTAATTAGTCTTTTTAGAGTTATTTTAGTTTTTTTTTTTTTTTTTTTACTTTTTTTTTTACTTTTTTTTATTAGATTTTAGCATCTAGTTAAGTAATATTACTTATTGTAATCTTCTCTAAAAGTGTTTTAGCCTAGGTAAAAAAGTCTAAAAGTAGCAGTCTTTAGAAAAGTTACGCAGATGTCCCCCCTTTATTAAGTAGTCTATTTATAGAGGGAGTTTATAAGTCTTGTACAACACTAGCTTAAGTAGCAACAGTTATGCTAGGTATTATTAAGTAAGTAAAGAATTGTATTATAAAAAACAAAGTATACACTTTATAATTAAAAGGTGTATTAACTAATAAGGGTGTAACTATAATATAAAAGTATAATTAGTACCTACTTAATTTCTAAAGTAATTTTTTGCTATCTAAAGAGAGCTTCTACAACTAGCTATATACTTCTCTAGAGAGCCAGGCACAGCAGCGCTGGTAGCAACAGATCTAGTATGCCGTAGGTCCAGTTTAAAGTATTACCTGTCTAGGATGCCCAGCTTTTTAGGCGAGGTAGGCATTGTCTGGGAAGTGCGGGGTTAACAGCACAGTTCGGGAGTCGTCTGGGACTGCCTAGTGCAGTCTAGGCCAGTCTACGACAGCCTAGGAAACACCTGGATAGCCGGTCGTTACAGAGTAGGGCAAGGTAATCCGCCTCTAGCTCTGCTGTTAATGCTATAAGCAAGGTTCTTAGCGCGGCTAGTTGTACAGTAACTAATAATTAAGGCTCACTAAAAAGTGCAACAATTAAGGCTATTTAACTTTAGAAGAATTAGTTACAGAATAAGGTAGTAAGCAGCAAGCTTTTAGACCTCCCTACTTATGTTACTAGGGAGAATTAGTTATCTAATAGCTATTTAGACCTTAATCCTGCGTCTCTAGAGACCTATAATATTAGCTGTTTTAACTAGAGTACAACGTACTTTAATTAAATTGTACTACTTGTACAGATCACGTGAGCCGTAACAGTTACGATACGTACACCTACCTCTCCTCCTCCCTGCCGTACGAACGTACTCAAAATCTCACCCGTACAGGCCTCAAAAACGCCCAATCGTACAGTACTACGCCTCGTTGGAAGCGCTGAAAGCAACGAGGCCAGGGGAAGGCCAGGTTTAAAACCGAAGATCCAATGAGGCGCACGACAAGGCGGCCAACCCGCGCATTGGATTGGGCGACCGAATGTGATCCTTTCGTCGTCAATTGGCGGCCTCCATGCAGCATCATTAAGCCTGGGGCCCCAACTCTAAAGTTTCCAACAGTCCCCTATAGAGGGCTCTGCAACGGGCCGCCCAATCAATTCAGGACTTGGCGTCTCACACTACTATCTATGTCACATGGCATTTTGGACCTCTGTCCTCCATACATCACTTCTCTCATTACTCATAACCCTTGCAAGGCTACAACTACTTGGTATCTCCTAGTTTAGAAAATGACGGGGGTTAGCTTAGGTCTGAAATTTGAATCTTGTTGGTCTCTCTAACTCCAGCGAAAGATTTAGAAGATATATACCCCCCTAGTTATAGCCTGTGATATATGATAACATGCAATAGTCTACTTCGTCACATCTATCACATTACCACCTCCGACAGGGAAGGGAAGGAAGCCAAATTAAATGGAAACGCTTAGGACGACATAGGGAATGATGTAGATGGCATGACCGTAAGCATTGTCTCGTGAAAGAGGGCAGAATTTCCGGCATTCCTGCCTACCTATCCACCCGTCAGCTGTTCGTGCATCGTTCAATCTATATAACGCCTCGACATGCCGTCCTGTCTTGTAGATCTTACCACTCTCAATGTATGCCCCGCCCCATTACTAACGTCCACCCGATTATAGATACCATTATTCCAGGACAGCGGACAATGCATGCATGACATATGCCCAATTTCAATCCCAATTCCGATCCCGATCCCGATTCCACCCCACTCAATTCCAAACTCTTTCCGAAATATATCCAACCCCCCGCCCAGCTAACCTGACCATTCTACCCCGTTCAAATCCACTCATCTAACTACTCTTCCCCACAAACTCCAATCCCAGCCTCAAGTCCCCCCTATCCGCAAACCAACTATCCCTCATATAATTATCCCTGGGTAACCACGGTGCCTTAGCCCCCGCATGCGGCATATTCCCCACACCACTCTTAACATACGTACTCGTCAAATTTAGGGGCAACCTCTTCTCCTTCGCCTCCTCTTCCGAAATCCTAGGCGTCGCGCTCGTGTACTTATTCTTCGCCATGAACCCCATCAAGCGCGTGAGAAGCCGGGACGCAGAGTCGGCGCCTAGGGTCCAGGATGCGTTGACATAGCCAATGATGAGGAAGAGATTGGGGACCCCGGAGAGCATGGTGGCGCGCCACATGAAGCGCGAGGGGACGGCGACGGGCTGTTTGTCAACGGAAAGGGAGATGTTGCCGCAGAATTGGAGGTTCAGGCCTGTGGCGGTGACGATGATGTCGGCGTCCAGTTTCTCGCCGTTAGACAAGAGTATGGAGTCAGAGGTTACGGTGTCGATTGTGGACGTCACGACTTGCGCGCGGCCGTTGGCAAAGCATTTAAAGAAATCGCCGTCAGGACATAGGCAGAGTCGTTGGTCCCAGGGGTTGTATGTCGGTGTAAAATGTGGGTCCATGGGGAAGTCTTTCGGGAGTTGTTTTTGTGCTTCGCCCATGAGAAGGGCGCGGGCTTTATCCGGCCACCGACGGCAAAAGAGGTAGAACAGGTATGGCAGGACGAGGAATCTGATGCGGGTAATGCGGAGGGAGATCCAGGTCGGTAGAAACCGTTCGTAGAAGTTTACAACGCCGGTTTTGCGCTGTGGCTGGGACATCACGTATGACGGGGATCGCTGAAGCATTGTAACATGGCCGACCCCGCCTTCGACAAGTGCGGGAAGGAGGGTGATGGCTGTTGCCCCAGATCCAATAACCACCATTTTCTTGCCCTTGTAATCCAGATCTTCCGGCCAGAATTGTGGATGTACTGTCGTGCCTTTAAACTTTTCCAAACCCGGGATATGGGCCTTCAACGGTTTTTCGTAGCTGTAATATCCCGTACCCATGATTATAAACTTGGCGTAGAATATCTTCCTCGTGCCTTCATTGTCCACTTCCAGCCGCCAAAGCTGTGCATCCGAGCTCCAATCCGCGCTGACAACCTTATGCTTAAACTGAAAATGCTGGTCAATCCCAAACTTGCTCGCCGTCTCCTTCATGTACGTGCAGATCGACTCCCCTGTCGCGATGGGGTTCTCTTTCGTCCAAGGGTTGAACGGGAAGCCGAAGGTGTGGAGGTCGGAATCAGACCGGATGCCGGGGTATTTGAAGAGATTCCATGTTCCGCCCAGGTCGGCCCGGCCTTCGAGGATGGTGTAGGAGGAGTTGGGGAGCGTTGTTTGCATACGGTAGCCGGCATTGACGCCCGAGATGCCTGCGCCGACGATGATGACGTCGTAGGACTGGGTGGTGTTGGTGACGTGCCCGTTGGCGCGGCCGTTCATGATGGCAACCTTACTAGAAAGGGATGGAAGGAAGAGGATTGTGGAAGGCGGCCTTAGGGATAAGGTTCTGATGAAGGAGCGACACAGTGGTGGAGAGCCGAAGCAGGAGGAGCGTTGTGCAAAGCCAGCTTGGAGCCCTGATATAAAGCAATCCACCTGCTGTCTGGGACGGGGGCCATCCGGATCACGGAGGACAATGCCATTGGCGCCATCATTCACAGCTCAAAGATGGTCTGAGAAAGTTTCAACTTCTCCGCATCCAACGGGCTGAGGTGTGCAGCGCTGTCAAAGCCGTCAAAGCCATCAAAAGCCCCTCGCTCGCTTCCGTCTCGAAACTAACCTCGGTACTTTCCCTTTCTGGCCCTCATCCTTCCATCATCGGAACGCTAACCTCAGAAGTCAGGCCGCATTCCCTCCCCAAGCAATTATAAGGTTAAATAAAAGGGTCATCCGGAGGTTTATCCTATGCAATTTGCCTGGAGGACAGACTCTCTGATTTCCAGCACCCGAGACTTGATACCGGAGCCTTGACGATCGCCAGACCGCGACGCAAGCCACCGTCCACAACTCGTTCGGCGCAAACACCCAAACCCGAAGTCCCCGATCCGAATCTCGTTTGATCTCCGACTCTGTCCACCACTCCGAGATGTATCTCAGATCACCCCAAAAAGGGAAGTCGATAATGCCACTGACCAAAAATTGAACTCGCTTCGTATAAAAAATGACGATGAGGATAGTGATGATAATTGATGATGGTAAATATATATGCGCCAAAATCCCCGACAATGCCGCGAATGCTGCCCTGCTAGAAACGCTTCTCAACGTACAAGCCCAACTCCAACAAGAAATCATGCCTTGCCAAGCAATATTATCTCTCCTTCTCCCCCGCTATCACTCGTAATGTACATGCGCTCATACTTGTCTTTTGCAATCGAGACAGGCCTGAAACAATGCACCGTAGAGCAATCCTCTACTTTCTCCGCGTAGAAAATGTCCTTGTACCCGGATGTGCTTGTCAGCGCCGCTTTTGGTCCAAATCCGGTCGTGCCTTTCGCGAATGGGACTTCCACAACTTTGTAGCCCGTCGGAGGTGTTCGATCCCAGCTGCCGTGGAACGTTACATACATGCTGGTGAAGTCTTTGCTGAACGTGGCATCAAGAGGTGCTGAATGGGCTTGGAAGAGAAGACGCGCTGGTGTGCTCTTCTGCGCACATGTAGTGTCGTTGAATGTGTTGTTGGGAGCCAGGACAAATTGATCGCCGACATTAAGCTTTGTGTCCGTGAAGTCGCTGGGTTTCCAGACCGAGAAGCAGGTCGGGTATCCGTACCACTGCTTATTCTCCTTGGATGGATCACCAAGATAGTTGATTTCTTCAGCGGGGTTATCGTCATGGATATCCCACGTCTTACCGGTGACGGTACGGTTGATTTCATCGGATCCGTTTTCGATTTCCCACATCCTACCAACACAGGTAAATCAAACGACATAATATTATAGGAAGGGGGGTTCCTTACATTCCGTCTTGATCAAAAGCAAGTCCCACTCCATTGCGTAGGCCGTATCCCATCTGGTACCCTCCAGTCGCGTAAACATACCCGGCATCCGGCGTCTTCGATATATCGAAAACTTTCACACACGAGCGTCCTTTAGTAATGTCTCCAGAGTCGAAGTCAAAGTTGTCGTTGGATCCGTGAGAGACCACAAGGAGGTTGGGGTACTTGGGAGGGAAGACCAATGTACGAGTAACATGTCCTCGATCGTCCATCTTTGTAACAATGGTTTTGGAGGTTGAGCCAACAGTCATTGTCGCTGCATCGTAACTCCATGACCACACCGTTGTTGGCGAGCTAGCATACAAAGTCTTGCCATCATTGCTCAGAGTAATTCCATGGTTAAGATTCATCTGGACGATGAGATCCTTAGTCGACTTGATGCAGCCATTTGGTCCAATTTCGTGGGCCGTGATACCATGACCGTTTTGCACAACGAGCAAATGCCCAGCGCTATCGATCACTACTCCTCTAGGCTGAATCAAATCTCCTGCAACTTTGACAGCCTTCCAGCCTGGAGCTGTGAGCGCAGGATTCTTGAGTGCATTCACACCCGAGCACGAAGCAGGAATGCCAGTTGATATTGGTGTTGATGTTGGAGAAGTAACGCTCGTGCTAAGCGTAGTAGGGATCGAAGTAGAGCTAGTCGGCGGTACGCTACTTGATGGAGGACCATCTGGGATCAGGTTGGCTGCAACTGCCTTGTTGAAGTCAACGTTCTTTCCAAGTGCTATGTCTAGAGTCCAATGGCCAAACGCCGAATGTACATTAAATGTGGACCGGTTATTAGCTGGCTGCGCGGGTAATTTGCTGGCATACGCATGTGCAAATGGCATGGTTGCGTTCTGGGGATCAAGTGAGCGTGCCTTTCCGTCTACGTCCGCCCACTGACTGCATCCCTTGCAGCGGACATTGAGAGTCCAATGTGTTGTATTGTACCCAGTTCCTTTCAGATATGAGTACTCGGCACCCGTAAACGGCTGCGGTAAACTCAGCCCGCTTGAGTCTTATGTTAGTGGCGGCCACGAAAGTGGGACGGATCAACTCACTAGGCCATCCTCGAGGAATATATGGTGGTGTTTGAGGCATTGTTCACCCAACCAATTGTGAGTGGTACATAAGGCATCGTTCCACCCCATGCGATCCCGACCCAGCCATTTTTGATAGGAGAGACAATTTGAAGAACTGTTTCAAAAGGTGCCACAGTAACGTTAGGCATGGCCACTCCAATCAGCACACCATTTCCGCCAGTCCAGCCAGAATAGCATAGCGAGGTGACAGAATCACAGTAACGTGTGGGTGGGCTATTTTGGGCAAGAGCTGATTGGCATAAGCACGAAGAAGAGAAAATTCAAGTTCTCCCGGGGCCTACCTGTACCAGCAAGGACTACAAGTCCTGCTGAGGTCTTTTTGCAGAGCCACATGATGAGCGTTGTGAGGATCCCGCAAGAAAGTCGTTGTGGTATTGGAAGGTCGACCGTCGGTTTTATGAGTTACTTTGGACATTATGGACATGCCACATCCACTTTGTCACCTAAAAAAAAATATATTGCAGCCCTTAGCGATAATCATGGCGCGGTTGGGAGGAACAGGGGATTTCGGCGCGTGGTACCCAATCCCGAATGCGCGATTGAAGGTCATGCCATCGACCTGGACTGTGCCAGCTGTTTCTACGCATGAGATAGGAAGTCTCTCAGGCGATTGTCGGGACTGCAAACATGACGAGATCGTGGAGGAACGGCTCCGCAAAGAAGGCTGTGAAACCGTGGGGTTCGTTTGCCTTTCGCGCATATTGCGGGGAACAGGCACATGTCAAGCTGACCCCTTTCCTTCTCGCTCATTCTCTAGCCCGCAGAGGAGATGTTGGGCTCGGCGCGCTGGCCTCTTGCGGTTACCAAGACCTCCCTCAGGGGAATTGACGCCTAGAAAGCACAGGAGCCCGGGTTTTGGTCGCTTGAGCCTCTAGCTTGGGGGGCAGCTGTGAGGAAGGCGGAAAGAACAAAGGAATACTCAGGTTCGTGTGACCGCAAAGAAAGTTCGATAAATGAATGAGGCTCATTACAGTTTTAATTGGACCTGGACTGCATGAGCTGATTCTGAGGAGACAAAAGCTTGGGCATCTTTACAGATGTTTGAGCGTTTTAGATTGTGGGGTATGGGGTCCGGATAGATGAAAGGATTTAACCTTAACAAGTGCGCGCGAGATAAATGAGATAGTACGCCCCATTTAGCCACACAAATATCAATGTGGCTCTAAGGGCCCATCGATTTCGACTTTACGGACCGGACGCCGAAGTCTGATACTGTGAGGGTGAGGTTTGACACTGAGATACATTGATCCCGTCTCGGCCGCAGCGTTTTTGGATATGCACCAGTGAGTCCCGTTCGCGATATGCGCGATTTTCGTCTTTCAATGGAGTTCAGATGATGGTGCATTGCGAGTGACCCACTTGACGATGTGTTGATTGTCGATGGTCGAAGATAAGTCGAAATGTTGGACGTCGCGATCGATCTTCCAGAGCCGACACACGTGACTGGTCCACACATGACCCTTCAAGGTCCGAAGAGCTAGGTATGACATTCTATGAAATGACGGTCAAATGTGCGATGAGAACTGTGAGGAAATTCGAGATGAATATACGGAGATGTAGATTCTTTATATAACCTTTCCCTGATGGAAAGGACGCTGCTATTTGTCACTACCCTTGCGTAGTTCTTGAAGGCTGACATAACAGCTAAATTCTGGAACAACCTGCTTCTCAACCCCTCAATACTCTAGTCCAAAAATCTCTCTCTCTATCGTACGACAAACTTTGCCCTTGGGCCTTCGTGTGCGGGGTATATCTCGCACTCTGCTCCTCTCAAAGATAGATTGATTGAGGCTTTAAGTGGCATAATTATGCAACGAGGTGGCAAGGGTTTTTCCTGCCAACAACGTTGACCATTCTCCTTCCGTCCATTAGATATTTTTTTTTTCTTCAATCATAGCCGCAAATGTAACGAGCAAAAAGAACTAATGGATCCGAAGTGAAAGTGATAGAAACGCTCAAGAGAGCTCGCGAAGTCTTCTCGGAGCAAAGTGGCATGTGCGGTGATCCTACGCTTTCAGGTTTACAATGACGCTCAGCTTTAAGAACCCTAACACCAATGACGCTTGGAGCATTGTATACGGAGTAGATACCTATTTCAGCGATATTTAATAGGACATAGTTTTTAGAGCCTACGGATAGCAAGCGGTGTACGCATACCTAAGAGTGATACATCTATGATCGAAGTAAGGTAGCACTGAACCTCACCACAACAACTAAGGAGAGTAACTGACCTACACTTGATAGACTCTTTTAATTGCCTACCGTAAGTACGTTGGAACCAAGTGACTTTGGCGAAATTTTGTGGCGATCAAGCCTCGCTGTGACTACACATCGCAGTTTTTCTCCTATTGCCTATGGAAGACCTGCAACCTTAGCCAAGGCTTTTGGCAGTCAGAGGTTACGCCTCCAGTCAATAATTTTTCCCATATCTTCTTTTCCCCGCCCTCTACCCTAAATCTTTGCCTTCGCAGGTCCACTAACAACCCGTCCATGCACATAACTAATACTCCTCAACTTCTCCGTCGCTTCTCCCCAAAGCTCGTTTCTTAATGAACTGTACACGCCCATTTTACTCCTCCCTTGAACACTTCTCCCTTTCTCCAAAGCAACTTCGAGCATCTCTGCCGGCTCCGCAACCGCATCTACAATCCCATCCTGCAGTGCCTGTATTCCTGTCCAACGATGGGCCTCCAGCAACATCTTCCTTGCAACCTGGGGCCGGAGTTTCAAGCGCGGAAGGGACCCGATACCTGGGAAATGGAGTCCGAGATTTACAGGCGGCATACTGAAGAAGCCGCGACGGGAATTCATGATTCGGTAGTCGTGGGCGAGGGCGAGGGGGCAGGCCCCGCCGAAAGTGTGGCCGGTTAGGAGGGCGACTGTGGGGTACGGGTAGTCGAGGAGGGTGGCTAGGAGCTGTGTGCAGGGAGTTAGTGTCAACTCATATTTATATCCGGCTTGTGGTAATCCTATCCTAGAATTCCTGCTCAAGTCTTTGTCCTTGACTGACGGATTGTAAAATAAAAAAAGCTATCGAGCGGGACCTAAAGCAAGCTTCATAAACAAGTTTCCCACCCCAAAACATCAAACGTCAAACATCAACGCACAGGATAAAACCCATCACTATTCGCATAGGGATTCGTATCTGCCTCATCCAACTCCAGTCCCGTACACCAAAACTTCTCATCGCTTCCCTTGGTTATCACACAGCCTTCTGAATCCGGGCCAAGCTCTTTTTCGATGTCGCGGAGTGCTCGAATGATTTCTTGCGCGAACGCAACGTTGATTCGGTTTTCGGGGGGTTTACAGAGGGTTATGACGAAGATCCGGTCGTGCTGGTCTACGCGGAGGTTTTGATAGGGGCCCGGGATCATGATTGTGCTAATTGTAGTGGGTTGGTTGGATTCCGAGGCAACTATGTGGGGTTGGAGATATGGGTAAGGGTAACGTAGTCTTCTTTTCCTTTGCGGTTGAAGCTCAAGCAGCTCAACGGTGCTAATTGATCTGTACCAATCCAATCAAACGGTGCTAAATGGAAGAAGTGAGGTCCGGAAGGTCCAAAAGTTCGAAATTCGAGATTCAAAGACCGATAAAGTTCGAGTCTCTTCACGTAAGGAAGGCGGGGAGTTGTCACTCAATAGCCTGGACCGTGCACCGGTGAATTTCGGACCTCCTCGGTACACGTTCCCCGCATTCTGGTTCTCGGGTAACTGAGTCGCAACTAAATGTAGCCGTCGGGTTTGAGCCTCACATGCCTACTGTGGTATCAGGCATAAGTAGTGTGCGTGGTCGATGCGGGGCAGGGTCAAGCAAAGGCTATTGCCGAATACTTTCACCAATGAATGGGCGACATCCCGCTGATTAATATTACTTTGCTCTGTGCTTTGGTTAAAAACAAGCAAACAAGGGTTTTTAGAGGCCTACCCACTGCACCGACCACGCACACTACACATCCCTAATACTACAGGAGGCACCAGGAACGGACCAAGGAGATGGATGGCGATGGAGATGCGCGCGTGGTGATGATTCTAGGTGCCTTTGTGCTAGGATATTCATCAGAATGCTGATGCAGTTGGCTGCATGCAAATTCATGACCAACCAAAGCCCTGGTCCCAGTCTACCATCAGCCAGTTCCCAATGCCACCATATGGGCCGAACCATTCCTGAGGTTGAAGTAAAGTAGGCTCCAGACTTCCTCCACCAGCAACTACCTGATTGCCTAGCATCTGGTGCTGGGCTGTTGAATTCGAGCTCAAATCTAGATCAAGTGGCTGAGCCGCCGGTGCCCTTAATCCTTGCAGTATGCCTGCCGTTTCCAATTCTCTCGGGGCAATGGAGGAAGTCTGGGGAAGTCGCTGGTGAATCGGACCCCACATACGGCAAAGGTCTGGCCCAAAGTCTGAGAAGAATTGGAGTGTGGTGTTGGGAAGATTAACATCTGGGAAGTGACCGAGAAGAGGTCGTTGGGTCACTTTCTCGCGGACATCCATTAGGTGTTTCAGGCTTCCTACTGCGCTCGGCCATCGCTTACCCAATTCCTCCAATGCTCGACCCATGATAACAAGGTTTTCTTCGGCAATGTCGACGAGGCCGGAGTATCGATAGCATGAGAGCTGCGCCATGCCAGCCGTGAGGCAATAGAAAGTGAAAATAGGCCCCAGGTAGCGCAGTTCATCGCGAGCCATGAAATCCTCGTAGATGCCAGCAACAAAGGAAGAAGCGAGTAACGATTCTGTGGATGGAACGTTTTTGGGCTCGGATGGTCGATTGAGGATTATTAGTACGGTGAAATACTGTACATGCAGTTGCCGGGCCTCAAAGCTGTACTGCTTGAGCGGTCGGCCGTCTACAGGTCGACACAGTTGTAGATTATTGGGGAGTGTTTTGAGCCATCGGAAGACTCTGTCTTCGAGTGATTTTTTGTGCTCTTGGAGCCCGTGTTTGCGGAGGTAGCTTTGTGTGAGATCACCTAAAACCCATCAGGATCATGGCAGTAAACAAGGTAAAAAAAACATGGGCTCATATTTATATACCACGAACGTAAAACTTACCTAGTATGCATGAAATTCCGACATACGTCGAGAACAAGTTCGCCGGGTCAAGCATACCCTCGAAATCCAAGACAGAAATGGGCGAGACATCAGCTAGCTTCAAATCGATTGCTCTTGGTCTTCCATGTCCGGCGTTGATTAAACAGTCTCGCACTACCAAAGACCACCATATTCGTTTTCTAAGCCCTGCATCCGGTTTCCCATTCGGTTCCCTATGTAACCCAACCTGATATGCTAGGCCAATACATATTCGGAGCCAGAAGCTGCTCGTGTCTAGCGAGACCTGCTCCGGGCCTTCCGGATTCCACCAATGTAGTAGACAGGCTGCGGCAATAGTTATGATAGGATTCTCTTCGGCACCCATCCAGAACAAGACCCGAGCTCTCTTGTAGAAGTCTTCCGGTGGGTAATTCGGTAACGGTGCAGATACCCTGCTTCCAGCTAGGAAAATAGCATGCTGCAGCAAAAGAGATACTTGATTGGGAATTCGATCGTCTATCCAGCTCCTCTCCACAACCGGTGTCCATGGATAACATCGTGTCCAGAAAGCGTCCATAAGCGATTCGCGGACCGACCTAGGCGGGAGTTCGGACACTCTTTGCACTTGTAAGATTTCGAGATCGGTATCAGATAGTCGATGGGGAACCTTGTTAGGAAGACCTGCATCGTCATTCACGGGAACATCGTTGCGAAGGTACTCAAGTCGGCCGAGGTAGCTCACATTAGTCGACGTGTGCGATGTCGAAGAGGGAAAGGTGGATTCCGTCATACTGGAACGAACACTGTTATGAGGTGTCGGATAAGCTAGGTCTGGATGTTGGTCTAGGACGTGGGAAGGGTGTTGGAGACTCGTTGCATCAGAGAGCTTTCGTCCAAGTTCATTCCCTGATTTCACGTTGCCGTCGTGAGGCTTTGAAAGGCCAGCTGAACACGTAACTTGGCTAGCTTCAGATAGACTTCCGTTCGTACTGGCCTGGCTGTCAACCCGTCGGCGTGCTGGAGGTGATGGACTGAAGGTAAACCGTTTCCGTTTTCGCTCTCGAGGTATGCAATCGTATCCATCTCTTGTGCACGGCGTGCATACATCTCCAGATACCTCGTCGATGTCACACCGTACCTTTTTCTTGTGGCAGATGACGCAAGCCTTCACCGTCCGACGTGCACGCTGCTCCTTGGTTCCCATCACGACGGTTGATTTGAAGGATCTCGGTGTAAATGATATAAATTGTGCGAAGACATTCCAGAGATAGCGAATTCTGGGAGCCGGATTTGCGGGGATGGGTGGTGGCTGGCGAGGTAAACGAGGTCGTGGTGGAGGTTCCAAATTGCGGGGCTGGGAAGATCCGCATAATCCCAAACATTGTCCAAGCAAAGCTTACTCGTTCCATACTATTTTGCCATCTTCACCTTTCATCACGGAGACTTCTTTTTATATCTGAAGATCATACTGAGATTCTTCTAAGGGAGTTTGTAGATGTGCTCAACTAAATCTAGCAGGTGACCCCCACAACCATACTTCTACATCCAGTCAGAAACCGAAAATGCCACATCTTTCCACCTAACTTGGGAATTGACTAGGGTATTTTGTGGGAGGATTTTGCATCTTGATACCTGATTCCATCCAAAGGTTACATAGTAAGCCTGTTTCAATAATGTTCCGAGTTATGAAATAGCATGTTCGATCCTCCATTCACTTCTCTTATAGGCGTGAAGAGTCCACATACGTCTTCACAGCCATCCGTGCCGAATTCTGAATTGACAATTTTCCCCATGAGTGAGATGAGATTCCAGATGATTGGTAATCTAACAAAGACTAGGCTCTGCGGTCTTAAGAATTGATTTCCATCGTAGAGCCTACAAAGTCCTCTAGCGACATTTTTTGTAACCTTAGCTAACCCACGTACCGTAATATGTGGTACGTCGAAGTTGACCAAGTCAGATGCCATGTGATTCGTGTGAATCCACATGCTTCAGGGCGAAAGAAAATGGATGCGGTTAGAAGTTATCCGACCCTTTAATCACTGTAGATTAGTTTAGATATAGGGGATGAGGCTTCGAACACTCTGACGTTAATAATGCAATTATGAGGTGATAGATGTAAAGGCTTCACAAAAATTGCAAGGGGTCTTGCTTCCTTCCATCGTTAAGTTCTGAAGTTTCTAGTTCTAAATTATCGCAAGACAGTGGTAGTGCTCTTACAGAGTCGTCGAGAATTCTACTGGTATCCCTAATAACACTGAGTGCACCACGAAGGTTTCCCCTGATGAAAGTTTCCTGCTTGATGAGGACCGCCATATGTTGATTGACATAACTAAGTATTGAAACCATTGAGGTTTGGCTACCAACTACAGCTTCGCAGATCCAATATTGATTCTGGCGTGATGAGATAATCCGGCCACGTGTCTTGCTCATGGGGATCCTCTGGTAATTTCTCGAGCCATCCATTCGATGCGTTTCGGTGCGGAATTTTGAATTGTCAATTTGCAAACTGAAGAAACTATAGACTCTCGCATAAGGACTCTCGCATAAGGACTCTCGCATAAGTGTGCGCGATCGTAAAAGCTGAAAGAAAGTGACATTATTGACAGGTATATTCGTCCACAGCAGCGGTGTGGACAAGTCATTTCACTCCTTAAACACTAGTAAAGCATTTACGAAATCGATTTTGCTACTAGTACGATAGAGCCCTTCAAAGCTGTTCAGTTTCAATTTGACGGCTAGGTTTATGAAGCCGTGAAAATTTGCGTTTGGCTCTACTATATTTTTGGCGAGAGGTTGTGTTTGGCTGATGAGGAGATTTTGGGTGGAGAAAGTTGTGATGGGGTGAGAGTGGAAGGTCAGCTGTACGAGGTGCGATTTACTTAACACATCTAGATTGTTTAGCGTTATTTAGCAAGTGAAAGGGGAGAAGTAGTCTCAGAGCACAGCATGCTATCATATAACATGGACCATGACTAGAAGCAGTTGTTATCTGTTAAATATCTTGCTACAATTATGCGCGTCGTTAATAAGATAAGAATTTCAGTCATAAATTACCTCCCGGTCATGTTCCACGACTGGTAATAAATATTTGTTCATCTCCTTAATTCCGGCGAGAGGTTTAGCGTATTATGTCTAGCTAGTGATTCACGGTAGGTGCGACTAGAATGTATGCATTTCACGCTCATCCTCTACTAATCCATCGTAATCCTGTGTGGCTATGTTCATTCCCATGACTAGTTTGATTTGGTCCTCAACCTCTTGGACTGCTTCCCGAACGCGCGGGTCATCAGCACAACTTCTTTGATAGAAATCTAGTAGCCTCTGAAGGACAGATGTCTCGTCCTCCATCGCAAACATTGGATGAAGTCCTTTCAATCCGCTCGTGTTCATATCCTTCGATTTTATGGCCAATGCTGGGAAGCGAATGCCGTTGGAGCTTGTCCTCCAAGTTTTGTCGAGCGCGCACAAGATCTCGCATTCATTTGCAATGTATTTCTTGTTGTTAGAATAGTGAAGGGATTGAAGTTTAAATGCATCGATCCAGTCGGGGATCCAGTCATTTCTAGGAGCACCCTCTTTCTGATAGTGGAGTCGAACCGCTGGAAAGATTCGCACACATTTTCCAAGTACATCGACGTGACTGAAATGAAAGGGCTCTCCTCGTGGGCGGAGAGTTCCGTGAACCCTGTGTACTAAGGAAAGTTCTTCAATGTTAGGAAAGAATCCTCCCTCATATACAGCCCTGAGATGGGCTGCGAGCCGATTTTGATAAATCAGTGCCAGTCTGTTAGCATCCCAGAGGTGAGCATGGAGTTCGGGCAAAGCTAGGGGCAGAAGTGAAGGTCGCGGGTACTGTGCGCAGAGCTTCTCGCCTGCTGGTCCCATAAAGCGAGCTATAGCAACCAGGAATGAAATGGAGAGACTTCTAATGTTACTGAATGGTATATGGTATTGGCGATTCGTATTTTTTTCCGGCACGGAGAACTCAGGATCAAAAAGACACGGACAGTACTGCCCAACGCGCAAACGTAAGTGGTATAAGCGCGGAATGACCTCCCTCAGCGTGCTGCACAAGTGTTGGCCTCGTAAAAAGCTTAACGGACGGCCATCATCTAACTCGAGGCTGATGCAAGATGGTGGCAGTGCTCGCAAGAGGAACCGAAGGAAACTCTGGGGGATATGCACATGTGCCAAGCTACCGGTTTGCCATTGCTCGAATACATTATGGGAAGGCTCGGCGCTACGTAAGGAAAATATTTGGAGACGATGTAGTCTCCTGCGAATTACGTCTAAGAGCCTCGCGATGATAAGATGGCATGTGTAATCATCATAGCGCCTGTTCCCATCGTGAATATTTAATTCATATTCGGGGATGAGATTCTTGATTTCTGTCCAAGATTGTTCTATTGGTGACACTTGTATGGGAGATAACCCCAACAGCGTGTATGTTGAAGATGGATCGCAGTATTTTTTATGTACGGGGCTGAGACGAATTGATAGATTCCGGATGCTATTACACCTTTCCTGGCTGACGGTGTTTAGTGAACGGCTCACGGGCTCTATGTTCTCATTCGTGACGGGGATGTTGGTCCAGAGGATGGGGATGCAAATTTTGTACCAATCACGGCAAACCAAGGCCGCATGGAATAGATCTGAGACCACTCCGTCTTGAGATACCATTTCGAAGATAGTCAATCTTAATTCTATGGCAAGTCTACCAAGTGGGGACGACGTGTTTGACCCTGGGGTCACCACAAAGGGACCCAAAGCAGGCTTTTCGTTAGCCAGAGGCTTTCGGGACGGATGGCGCTTCGTATCAGGAAGGATGGCTGGGGTTTTAGAAGACGTAATGGGTGTGACCATCGCTCGCGAGGAATCCGCAGACGGCATTGGTGTTGCAGAGAAGTCTGGAACCTCCACGCTTTCGTGGGGAAGAGTGAGGCCAGTGGGACAGGAGGCCATATTCCACTTTTATCTCGACAGAGGAGGTCGAGAATACAAAATAGCAGGTTCTTAGAGATGGTGGGTGCCTGCAACGACTACAGCGGTTGAAACGTGCATTGAGGATTCGCTTATCGCTCCCAGGAAAGGTTAGCGCGGACTAATAACCAAGGTGGGGAAACATGAGTTGTTGAGGCATCGGTTAAGAATGGGCTCATAGTTGTAGGTGTAGAAGGCTAATAAGTTTGAACCATGGATAGGTTGTGGCCGAAGTAGAACACCACGTGTTATTGCGGAACAAAGCAGAGATCCTAGTGACTCTCTTAACTCAGTCCGGATCTGCAATAGGGAGCATTTCCACTCCTGCTGTTGATGCAGTCGTTCTATCTGCAACATGACACTAGCCTCAGTGCATAAACTCATTGAAGAAGTTCACGGCACTCTTCTTCGCCCTTTCCAGTCCATTCTTCTGCTTCGTATCATTCTGGGCACCTCTCGTTGCAAACCCATGCGCAAAACCAGGGAAGTACACGTACTCATATAGAATTCCCAGCGTAGGAATGACTTTCTTGGGGTACTCCTTGAGCTCTGAAATGTAAGCAGGGTCCGTCTCAGGGGACAGGATTTGAACGGGGACCTTGAGTCCACCAATCTCGTTGTTTTCCAGCAAACTAGGACGAGCTACAGAAACAGCATCAACAAGTGAAGGGTCTGCAGCCAGCCGGAATCAGGCCTAACCGCCGTAGCAATAGCCAATCGCTGCGACTGTGGGATACCGCGACTTTAGAGCTTTGGCGCTGGCCTTGATCTCTGGGAAACGGACGTCCTTGCCGTGACGATTAGTAAAGCCCATGAGATCAAATTCTGCGCGCTTCTCGGAGTTGTTGAACACATCGGTGCCGACGACTTCGTCATCAAAGCTAAGGATGTTAAGGGATTGTTCTGAAGCGAGGCGCTAGTGGCGTACTCACAAGTCAGGTAGGTACACGGTCAGGGCTTCCAACGAGGCGTAGTACTGTACGATTGGGCGATTTTGAGGCCTGTACGTGTGAGATTTTGTGTACGTTCGTACGACAGGGAGGAGGAGAGGTAGGTGTACGTATCGTAACTGTTACGGCTCACGTAATCTGTACAAGTAGTACAATTTAATTAAAGTACGCTGTACTCTAGTTAAAACAGCTAAGACTATAGGTCTCTAGAGACGCAAGATTAAGGCCTAATTAACTATAGAATAACTAGTTCTCCCTAGTAACAAAAGCAGATAGGTCCTGCTCCTCTAGGAGCGTTATAGAGACGCTGTGTAGAGGGCTTTTAACTCCTGTAATTAACAAGACTAAAAACAGAGGGATCTAATGTCACAGTTATGTTACAGCTATCCAACCCCTGAGTACCCTGGGCTTGGCACGGGGTATATAGGCTCCTCGGCCTCCGTACCTCTGCCTCCGACCCTAAGGTTTACTCTCGTTACACCCCCCCTATCCTGCATTCCCTCTCTGTGACCTGTGTTTCCTGCTCAATACCTCTCACATCTAATTAACTAGATAAGGCCTGTAAGGCGGCAAGAGGCGTGGATAGATAACTCTACAATAGAAAATAGTCTGTACTAGGCATTTTTAAGACAACAGACTGCAGATAGATAGATTAAACCCCTTAAAAAAAGATTTAAGCGTCCTTGCAAAACTTTTGGCCCATTAGAGCTCTAGAAGCCCTCCTACCCCTCCAGAACCCCTATACAAACTTCCCAAAAGGATAATACGATCTGTACTACGTACCGTACCTAGGGCATCATTAAACGTGCAGTACGGCTCACGAACGCGGTACGTTCGTACTGAACACGTGACCGTTACGGTTCACTTTGTACGGACCGTAGTACGGCCCGTTGGAAGCCCTGTACACGGTAGCATACACTTCCTTTGCGAAGTGGCCGGCGAGCAGTCGCAAGTTCTCAAACGTCCACCCAAAGATGTCGTGAACGATGAGAACGGCAACGGACTTGGGAGTGCCGTTCACGGAGACATTGTTCTTGGCAAGAGTAGTTTCGGTACCGACTGGCTTGCCGCCCCAGCTAAAGCCAGTCTTGCAGCACTCGGACATAGACATGATGAGGAAAAATCCTGTTCAATCCTGGATTGTTTGGGCTTGAAGCCTAAGTTGAGGCGATCTAGTGAGAGAGTCTTCGATTTGTGGGGTGTGGGATAATTTGAAATGCAGCATCCAGTAGAGGTGGAGATAAGAAGGGCGAAAGTCCGGCACCTTCCGTATCGCCAAAGATGGAGATGGATGACATCAGATAGAGCTGGAGAGGACCAGCGCGCACACATCTGCCGCCCCCCCAAAGTCATTGCCGGCCATGCATCGATACCCTGTCGAGTTCCCATAAGAATGTCTCATGATGGGAGACTGATATGTCTGCTCCCGACCCTGATGATTCCCTCAATCGTGCCACATGGCCTGAGGAGGAACGACCCTGAGTCATTAGTGTCAAAGGCTTCGAGGAAACAGTACAGGGGCACCGTCTTGCCTTAATGAGGAGGGTGTTCCCTTCTCTGTCACATCCATGGATATATGTTGATGATAGTTAAGTTAGCCACCAGCCACTGGAGATTAACGCTAGCCCGGAATAGACTTAGCCTCGGCTACGCAAGACGGGGACCAGGCTGCCAAGTCTTCATCTCAACCCCCAAAGCCTGTATACATGTCTTACAGAACGGTTGGCTGAAGGAATCTCAGTTGATACCCACCATCACAGCCATAGCTTAGTGTAGTGCTTCTGAACAAACTTGTCTACTGGATATAATTCTACAGCTTGGCCAATGTTCGCGTCTTCATCCACTGCTGGACTTCTGGGTATGCCTGGTAATCTATGGGGAAATACTGTGACCCGAGGATTTTCTTTTGCACCTTCCCGGTGATCGTCTTCGGCAGTTCCCCGTCCACAATGCGGAGCAACGTAGGGAGCTTATACCCAGCAAGCCTATTACGCATGTCCCGCCGGACATCTTCAATAGTGAGAATGAACTCCCTATCCCCGTACGCCTCCGAGAACACATCTGTTAGCTCCTCTTCCTGTAGCGAGACCAAGGCGGCCACCCGTTGTCCGAATTCCTCATCCGGTACTCCTACCACCATGGCTTCCGCAATATAAGGCAAAGCCAACAGTTCCCTCTCAATGTCCAGAGCCGAGATCTTGTATCCCCCTGACTTTATTATGTCAAGTGACGCTCGGCCGATAATCCAATAGTACTTCCCTTCCCTTCGTGCAATGTCGCCCGTTCGAAAGTAGCCCTCGGAGTCGTGAGCTCTTGCAGTGGCCTCAGGGTCATACAGGTATTTGGAGAACATGTGCTAGCAGTATTTAGAAAGCTGTATTTCAGGAGTTTTAGGCTTAAGATTTGTATGTGCGCTTACTGGACTCTTCACAAGAACCTCGCCCTCGTCGCCGTTTGACAGCTTCAGGTCGACTCCGCTCACAAGCTCGCCAACTGAGCCATCCGGGGTTCCTTTGTCGTCTAAATGAACCTTGAATACTGCACCAAATTCCGTGGCTCCATATCTTTGGACGATCCTCTTCTGCATAAGGATGGTCCAGAACTCGTTGAGTGGCTGAGGCAGGGCAGACGTCCCACAAAGGCATGCCCGGAATTGTCTTGCTCCAGCGATATACTTTGCTAGTTCCTCAGAAGGGAGCTTGGATAAAGTTCGCTGGTAGTGGCGCCTCATTCGCATGTATATGGTGGGCACACCGGAGAAGAAAGTCAGGTGTCTACGGGGGTTAACGGCGCCCTCCTTCCACCTATCCCACATCCACACTTCATCAAAGCCTCCGCTCCGGAACTCAATACGACTCCCTGATATGAGAAATGGGAAGAAGTTGATACCCACGCCTGTTGCATGATGAACAGGGAGGACATGGAGCATGACATCGTCCTCGGTAAGCCGGTAGTGGTCTGCCACTGACATCGCACTGTCGAACACAAATGCCCTCCGCATGACAGCGCCCTTGGGAGGACCTGTTGTGCCGGAAGTGAAGATTACTACACTGGGGGCATTTTCTTCAAACGCGCGGTCCGACGAGATGATAATGTCAGTCGCGCATAGCGTAGGCGTGAACGTGCATGGTCCGATCGGCACGCCTCTGAAGTGCTCATTAGTGATTGAGGATATTCGCTTCTCCAGTTTGCAGCATTTCTCCAGGTTCACGGAACTGACAAGTACCAGAGCTGCCCTTGACTTCTCAATGAAATATGCGGCCTCTTCCACCGGCAGCGCTGGAGCGATTGGCACTGTTGCCGCGCCCAAAGCCAGCGTTGCCAGCATTGCAACTGTGTACTCATACCCCCCCGCTGCAATTATAGCCAGATACACTTCATCCCGTCGCTCTAGCGCCTCGATGGTTCCCGGGCCCAAGGAATTTAGAATGGTTTCGCGCAGAGCAAGAACATCAGAAAGGAGCTCGAGGTGGGTTCTTTGGGCGTTTGATCGGGCATCGTGAATAGCTATTCTTGCAGGCTTCCGACCGGCGAACCGGAGTAGTCTACTAAATAGAGGCTAGTAGACATTAACTAATCTGTTATGCCTCAATTCAAGGTTGCAATTTAAACAGAATCTGTACCGTGTTGGGAAGTATATTATACCCTGCATGCTTTGGCACCATAGAGGTGCGGTCTTCCATATCGAATTTGCGCAAAAATCATACGAGAATCAAGTTCGGTATCTTTTCATCTCCGCTATCTGTACCCGAAATTTGCTTCTTTCCATGCATTTCGTACTTAGGCAAGTGGCAACAGAGAGTCGTTGTGTGGGGTGTCGTATTCCCGTGTCGGTGAATATCGGTACATTTGAGCGTCGATCCTTCAGGGACCCCGCATATCTATCGGCGCTTGTGCAGCTTCGGCAGCGGTTTCGCTAGTGGAACATCAATAGTATATCCACGGTGACCTCTCTATGGCTGATCCAACAGCTTACCTTTGGCTTCGCTAAGCAGTGAAGATAGTAATCTCAGCTGTGCTAATGTCCGCCTGTGTCGGCAAAATGGTAGGGAGAAAAGGCCGATGAGGAAGGGAACTTCTGCATGAGTCCCTCCACGCCTGCCTGTCCGGCACCTTAAGATAGTGCCACTTCTTCTTCCCGGTAAATCATTGCAGCAAGAGGGAGAAGTCTACATCAGTCATTTCGAAATGACCTAACACCCAAGAAAGTCTATGGGGTGTACGACAGCTTCGAGGACCGAATATATCCAAAACTTTATTACGGAAAAGGACTAGACGGATGTAGAGAAACGAGCCCTTGTCTAAAATTTTGACCTCTGTGTGCTTTCCCCTTGCTGCATGGTCTATTTCCTAGCCTATCTTGGTACGTATTCAAGCTTTGGGCAAGCCCTAGGTTAACATAGCTTAGATCGAGCGAATATCGGAAACGTCCGTATTTCATGGAAAGAGACTCCATACTCCCTTTAGGAAAGTCTTCATCTGCACGGGACAAACTTCAGCTAGGCCGTCTCGGTCACTTACTATGCGGCGACTAGGCCTCTCTTCCCCGCGAACCTGCTTATGAAGAAGATTTCCGCGAACCACTTTTTCCCCCTTTATCAAAGTCCTTTTGGGAATTGTTGTTATGAGTATCTCCGCAGTAAAGGGTGCTTCAGGCATGCTTGCAGCGAGAGTCATACTCGACATCCCCCGAATCGGGTGTTGTACTATGTTGCGTCTTGCACTTCTCGTGAGTTGTGCATTCCAATACCACGGTTACCTGGATCATGACGTTTCAGCTTCTGGTACAAACCGAGCGAGCGGTTGTTTAGGCTGGGAACCTTCAAAAATGCCCATTCCCTAGCCTCAACAGTTTCGGGATTTCTGGCAAGAACTATAGACCACCTGAATTACCACGAAGGCCCCAGGGCCAAGCAATGGATGTTCATCATCAAAGGAGCTTTGCCAATAACCCTCATCGTTTTCATTTACTTCCTGCTCCTCGCATGTCCAGAACCTTCGACGGCCCTTTCCGATCGAGACCGGTACATCGCGATCAATCGATTTAGTCGTGGTTCCACAATAGAGATCGATGTGACGTGGTCAAGTCTAGCTTCCAATAGAGTCTTCAGCCGGCCATCCATGTACGTCCTTTTCACTAGCTGTGTATCACTTTGTATTGTCTGCGTGGCTTAAGCAACCTTAGTCCCGACAAGTCTTTCGACTTTCCTCAAATTTTCCGTGACAAAATCCAACCTTTACACCACTGCCTGCAACCCGGCCACCACTCCACCGCATCAGCTCTACCCACTGCATCGCGATTGGACCCAAGAGTCATGCGGCATTACATCTTTTCCGGTCGTGTGCTCCATCCCTAGCTATGCGGTCTGGACCTACGTTTCCACACACCAGGACAACGGGCTTTCTAACATTCCATTGTATGGCTTCTCTAGGAAAAGTGATATTAATTTCCCAGCCCGTTGTGCTTATCTGCCGAAGCTTGACGCTGTATGACTCTTCGGGATAGACCGTGGGTGGCGCAGCAACCGTGGCGTCGCTTTCCATTGCCTCAATTCTTGGGTCGCAAGTCCTATATCAAGATCGTAATATGGCAAGCTGACACTCGAAAAGGCAGCAAATATATCCTAAATAGGACAGCCCTCACTAGTACGAGGATTTGTCGCGACCTGTATTATTCTCACCCTGTGAGTGCCCCCCTTTGTTTCAGGTCTGAGCTGCGATGTGGATGTGTTGCTAATATTTGTAGCTGGGTAGTAAGTTATCGGTCACTCCCGCCCTGTCTCCAATGGGAAGCCCTTCAGTAAAAAAGGAAAACAGGCCACGCGCTCCCTCTTTAAGCCCTGAAGACCACAGAACGGTCACAAGTCTCGGCTGCGACGATGGCCCGCATCCGCGAAGTGAACGCCGTTGAGGAAACGAAATACATCAAGGATCATGTCGGGGAAAGCGGAAAGCAAACGGCATCTCACATTGAGATGCAGGTGTGATGTGATACAGAAAAAGCTTGTCGGCGGGGAACACGGGAGGGCGCCGGTCAAAGGGTGTGGGTTACCTTTTCGGATACTAGACGCTATTTGAGTGGTCAAAGCGTGCAAAATTACGGCCAGTGTTGTTACACCATGCCCAAAAAGCTTCCGGGGCTGTGGAGTTGCGAATGTGAATTCGAGGAATCACGCTTCCATGGATGTTTGTTTGCCTAGTCCACGGATGAGGGTAATACTGATTGTCGTAGGGCTACTTAACGCCTTGCGCGCCCTTGCGATTTTCATTCTTCATGCCATTGTCGACTCCTTATTTCTCTTCAATACTTGCTTGAGCATTCGCACAACTTCAGCCGCAATGATCTCTCGAATGGCGTACAGTACGCTGCATCTCTCCCTAATGGATCAGTCTGCTGTTCGCGCCTATATTCGAAACCTTCTGATATTCCCGTTTCCTGACATGTCTCAAGCTGAAGATGCCGTCAACACTCTTAGAGAGGGATTTCAGGCTACAGTGGCACAGCTCCCTTACTTAGCAGGTACCCTTGGTCCTGTCGATCCCGAATCTGGAAGGTTGACCCTGAGGTACCCAAAAGAAGTTTCCGATGTGCAGGATTCTGGCTTGTTTTCATTCGACATGATTCTAGCGGACAGGCAGTATACCTACGAGCGACTCAAGAAAGAAGGTATGCCGCCTAGTGCATTTCCGGGCACAACATATGCACCGCGAAGCCTTCGTGACCACCCGGGAATGGAGTCGCCTATCGCTGAAGGGGTACTGTCGTTCAAGGAGTTTTCGGCACCTGTCCTGGGCGTCCACGCTTTCTTCATTCCCGGGGGACTGGTCCTAAGTATGTATTTGCACCACAGTGTATCGGATGGCACCGGCATGAACACTTTCTACAAGCACTTCGCAGAAAATGTCCGCCTCCGAAGAAACATGCAGATGCTGTGTAAGTCTGCTTTTCTCTTCATCAATCGTCACTGACTAGATCAGCCCACCAAGAGATGATTGATCATTCCATCCCTAGGTTTGAAGTAGACGAGCGAGCTCCCGTATTGTCACCCGGCCAATCGATTCTCACCGTCCCTTTGTATATTGCAGGAAAGTGGGAGTATGACCAGACGCTTCCCGAAAACACTAAGTGCACAGGAAGACTCTTTGTCGTCCCCGCGGCACGGATTCGCGCCTATCGCGATTCATTACGCTCTAAAGTCAATACTCCGACGCCGCTCACTGTGTTCAACGTCCTAGCCTCCCTAGTCTGGATCCACGTCACGCGGGCACGAGCACCGCACTGGATGGATAAGACTTCCCTAACGACCGCCGGGATCGCCGTTGATTTGCGGCGTCGCCTGTCTCCGAAAATGGCGGCGGAATTCATGGGCAACATGGCGTTATTCACCAATGCTATGATGCCCAAATCGCAATTCGTTGCCGAAGTACGGTGGGTTACGCACAATTAGTCTCATTACGCTTCCGCCCCATCCGACCTTGCATGAACCCTTCCCCGAACCTGCAGCCAGTGATACACAGTGCAGAAACTAACTTTGGAAGATATGCAGAGTCTCGGATAAGACAATTATTCCTGCCGTCGAGTGTGTAAATGCGTCGATTTCGGGCGTCGATAATGAGTGGGTGAATCGACATCTAGCATTCTTTAATGCGCAGGAGAATCTGAGTGAGATCAAGCTGGCACTGAGGTTTAAATTTGCTTCTGATATGTTTATTACTTCGTGGATGAACTTTGGGGCGGAGCATGAGTGGTGCATTCCGGGTGCTGCTACGCGGAGCCCAGAATTCATTAGGAAGCCGCATTCGGTAGAAGATGGGGGGATCATTATCATGCCAAGGAGAAGGGGTGTGTTCGATGGAATCGAGGCCCCGTATGAAGTCTTAGTTCAGCTTGCAGGGGATGACATGGAGAGGTTGTTGAATGAGGAGGGAGGGTTAGCGACTTGGGCGGAGCATATTGTGGAATAGTGGACAGTGACGTCGATGCAGAGAAATGATTTCCTCGACCAACCAGTAGGCGTCAAGTTAAGTCGGTCAGTTTGGAGTTTTGGAGAAGAACGAAAATGAACGATCTGGGTTTGTCTGGGCATATGCATATGGATTGCAAGGATGGATGGCATAAAAGCGCGGGTCCGGCATTTGATATCCTGTACAAGTATCATGCTTGCTTTCCTTCTACCGTCTTTTCTCAACTCATCCATGCCATTCGGCACGCCAAGCATAGTTGCTTTTATGCCATTCGTGCTCTATTCTATCATCGATCGATCGGAGGGCATGCTGACACCTGTTACACAGCATTTTTCGCCTTCCAACAACTCGGTAGTCGTCGAAACCAGTTCCTTCCTGGAAATCAAAGGACGAGATGCAAAGCCACCAACAAAATATCGGCTCTCGGTGCACACCCTCGCGAGAATTCAGTATGCGATTCGCCGTCCCTATGCAGGGTGCGCCCTTTCTCCAAAAATAAAATATGTACAGAACCGGTAGGGCCGTAAGGAAAAGCCACTGTGCAACTCTCCAGTTCTAGATTCGTTCGGACCTTTGAAATGAACGCCTCACGAAAATGCATCCCAAATTGGTAAATTGTCGTCTCGTTTCGAGGCGAGAAGTGGCCGGCATTCCCCTAGTCACTGTGAAGATGGGTGGAATTGCCGAGAATCACCGAAAGGGTTTCCCAAGACGGGGAACGAAAGTCCGACTGAGAAAGACATAATTGTATGAGCCGAGGCTAGAGCGTAAGGAAGCCATATAGAGCTCCGAGGGTTGAGTTTGGAGTTTGATATACTGGGGATTGGTGCAATCTAATCAATATCTTCATTCGCTTTATTCGTCCACAGAATGCTAGACTTCACCGACAAGCTTAAACCGCAATATGATGGTGCTGCCACACTTCAAGCTGAGCGAAATGCCTCAACGATCAACGTCGACGAGCTCGCCAAGCACCTTCTCTCCCGCGATGGGTTTCTTGAAAGACAGGAACGGATTTTGCGAGTTCTCGAGAAGGAAAAGATCTTCAAGAAAGACCATCAAATGAACTTATCCCGACCAGAACGATATCATCTCGGCCTCGCGCGCGCAAAAGCAGTTCAAAGGATCATGCGGAAATACAGCTGGACAACATCTGAAGACTACAAAATGTTTGAGTACCTAGTAGATGAGGTTAGTCCGTATCATCTTCATCTAACCATGTTCGCCACCACGGTCCGTGAACAAGGATCCGAGGCACAGAAGAAATACTGGATGCCCAAGATCCTGAATTACGATATCATCGGGTGCTATGCGCAGTCTGAGCTCGGCCACGGGAGCAATGTGAGAGGGTTGGAGACGGTGGCGAAGTGGGATCCGCAGAGGAAAGAGTTTGAGATTCATAGTCCGTATTTGACGGCGAGTAAGTGGTGGAATGGATCCTTGGGCAGGACAGCCACACATGCTATTGTGGTTGCACAATTGTTGCTACCAAAGAAGGGGAAGGAGAATGAGTATGAGAGTCATGGGCCGCAGCCGTTCATTGTGCAGATTAGAGATCAGAAGACGCATCAGCCGTTCGAGGGGATTGTTGTTGGGGATATTGGGCCGAAGTATGGTTACGCCTCCATGGATAATGGATACATGCTCTTCGATCATTATCGAGTCCCGAAGTCGGCCATGTTATCGAGATATGTGGAGGTCTCGGAAGAGACGTGCACTCTGAACCGTCATGGTCATCCGGCTGTTGTCTACGGTTCTCTGACCTTCGTTCGTGGACAGATCATCATGCACGCCCGTCTGATTCTGGCACGTGCAGTTACGGTAGCTGTTCGGTACTGTTCTATCCGACGGCAGTTTCGAGACCGAGATTCTAGGAGCGATCAAGATGATGAAATGAAGGTTCTTGATTATCCAACTGTGCAAATAAGGATACTACCGCTACTAGCAACGGCGTTCGCGCTGCACTATACTGGAGAGATGATGTACAGCATGTATATCAAGAGTCGGGAGGCGATTGAAAATGACGATTTCGGTCCTTTGGCAGAGCTTCATAGTGCGAGTAGTGGGTTGAAGAGTTTGTGTACAATGCTAACCGCAGATGGTATTGAGACATGTAGACGTGCTATGGGCGGCCATGGTTTTGGAGGTGGAAGCGGGCTAATAGGAATGAACGCAGAGTGAGTGTCCTTCCATCCCTTCCCTACAATCCTTGCTGATGACTTCCAGTTATCTCTCTAAACCAACTGTCGAAGGCGATAATTGGATGATCACCCAGCAAGTTGCGGCTTACCTGATCAAAAAGATGACATCCGCAGTTGCAGACCCAACTGCCCCACCAAAAGACCCGACAGACGAGCTTTTCCAATTCTACCTGAAAAACCGCGGTCACCACATCCCACAGAACGTCGCCCACGGCACCGAAACCGACGACTGCGCAATTGTATGTGTATTCAAATGGCGTACCGCTGACCTCAGCTACCGAGCCTACCAAGCCCGAGTTATCGACAAGAAGCCCTGGACAAAACTCATGATCCAACTACATTCTCTCAGCCGGGCATACTCAGAGCAAATCCTCGTCACCACCTTCCACAACTCCTTCCGAACTAGCACGTCCACTCTCTCTTCTCCAACCCCCGAAGTCTTAAGAACATGTTTCAGACTCTACGCCCTACACACTCTAGAAACATCCGCATCATCCTTCATCCTCACAAATTCCGTATCGTCAGAGTCAATATATGCACTGCAGGACGCGATATTGGCCTTGATGACGGAGTTGCGGCCTCATGCGGTGAAGCTGGTGGATGCGTGGTCAATCCCGGATTTCTTGCTTGCTAGTGCGTTGGGCAGGTCTGATGGGAAGGTATATGAGGAGCTGTATGATATGGCACATAGGAGGAATCCGTTGAATAGGATTACATTTAATCCGGACTGGAGAAGCGAGGAGATTGTGTTGGGGAGTGGAGATGGTGGGAGGCATGTTTTGTCGAAGTTGTGAGTTGAGAAGAGGGGGAAAGAGTGCCGGGCGGGAAGGGAGAGACAGGTCGAGAGTCGCATAGAATTATGGGTGCAAAAAGTGTCATGAATAAATGCTCGTGGAATTTTCTCAAAGAGCGAAATAGGCCTTTTAAGGTCATAGATGCCGTCTCAGCGTTTAGATTGGGTACTAAGAGTATGCGATTACCAGGCGGATGACTGTGGAATCGCATTTTGGAGGGCATTGACGACAGATACTACAGCATGTTATCACATACCACTGAACATACCCAGGGTAGATCTAATATATCAATCTCCCGCTAGAGGTAAAGAGGATATTGAGAGGATAATAATCGCTATTGCGCGTCAGATCCTTATTATACTCTATCACAAGTGACAAAAAAGGTACTAACATGGTTTGGAGTTGACGGAGTCTACATGACGAAATGGACTATTCCATATCTGGTCAGTCCAGCACTGGCGTGGAAACCACAACTCTTGCAATCTCAACCATCTCACTCAACTTCGACAACCGTGAATCTTTCTTGGGCGGCCCTTTGTAAGAGTGAAGGAGGCCCTCAATGTCGCCGACACATCCATCGTCTACAACAGCAAGCGTCATAATATTCGCTGTACTCTCTATGAGAGGAAGGAATGCTTGTTTTGAACACGAAGGCGCACAAGAATACGCTTCAACGACAGCTGTTTGTGCTCTCCGCTTTCGCGATATTAACAGCTATGTTATAATACAAGAAGTTCTTAGCGGCAATGATTTATGGCCACCTCATGACAGCGCATTCACGAGTTGGCAGTGCTTGGCCTTCACTATCCACCTGATACGCATTCCCAAGGTCACACCCCTCAACAGCGTTATAAAGCTGTTTCCTTCTTCATTCTCCACACGTCTCTCTTGCCATATGGTCAGTTCACTTTTTCAGCATTAAAGTCTACCGGCTGTATCGCATGTACGGAACCCTTCTTCCAACACCGTGCTCTGGATTCACCGGTGTTCTTCTAATTCATCCACAGTCTCTCTTATCTGATGAGTACTCTCGTTTTGCTAACCACAAGTGCAGAAGGCTCGTTCGTGACATGTTCACATTGTCCATTGGCTACGTCACTGGCATTTTATGAATTGAGTATCACTATCCTATCGTGACTACTGTCATGAGAGTAAGTAGAGTGAACTTTGGCCACTTACGATATTGAATCTCTAGCGTACCTATATCAATACTTCTCTAGTTCACATTGTATTTGCTCTACTCCTAGCTTCCAGAACCCCGACCACTTGCCAGGAGAAACTTGCAAGCAACCACAAACATGACTTCTGATTTCATGTCTCAAGTCTGCGCACAATTTGAGCCAGATCTAACGAAGAATGGGTGCATGGAAGTCCCCGGTCTTCCTGATAGCAACCTGGTTAATGCGATTCACCCCATATTCAAGCCCGACCGGTGGGCGAAAGGCTACGAACAACATACCCAGAGTTTCTATCACCGTATGGAACCCGCGCTCCAGCTAGCGTCCCGGTTCATTACTGAAGACTGCACTCTTCCTTGGTTCCACCACATCACCCAAGGCCACCGGAAATACGACAAGGACTCTGGAAACACTCGCGTGTTTGTTGCGCCAGCACACACTGAGCATTCAGGCGCAGGTAAGAAGAAAACCAAAGAAATTTTCCAACGTCTGTCCCGTGTCATCACCTTCATGTTCGTTCCACGCAAATACAGGAACACGAAACATGGTTCGGCGTATGGGGTCACAGCACACTCTAGGCATGGGTTTGAATGGTCTCACCATTTCCACAACCGCGATTGGCCGCTCATTGATGAGAGCTGGAAGGCCCATAAGCACGATAAACCTTGCATCGCCATGAACGCGCAGTTTCAGGACTACTTTTACGGTGGAGATGAGAATGCGACGCCGTCCCAAAGGTACCGTATGTGGTTCTTGTTCGCGGTAACCATTGTTCATGAGACTGCGCACGCATATTACTTCTGGCTCAGGCGACGACACAACCAAGAGTTCGATGGCAAGGAGCCTCTATGGAACAAATTCCAGAACAGGGCCGAGCTGGGATTTTCGTGGGAACTGATCACTCTAGGCAGGGTTATGAACCCGTTGTTTAACAAAATTTGGCCTAACTACAACCTACTTGCTTCTATCCAGACAGAACTCTTCTACCACGAGTGCGAGCGGCAACACAAGATGAGAGAGATTTTCGGAACCACTAATATCAGTTTCGAGCGCATCTCGGAAGGGATAGCCAACTGGTGTGGTCAAGTTCCATCAACGACTTGGCACGGGTACGACTTCTGGGTTCACGGTGGGGAAAGACCAGATATGAACTGCATCTCGGTCGTCCACGTGATTCCCGTACGGTGGATCGCGGATTGGTTCTCTGAACAAGAGTGGATAAAGAAGCAGAGGGTTTGGAGAGAGACGAGGACATGGACGCCACCACCACTAGGCCCAACTTTCATGCTGGTATATAATCGAGACCGGAGAGGTCATGCTTCGCTTCATTTCGCGAAGTTGGCGGATCTGGACCCGTACCTGCACGCAGCTCATGGGCAAACCCATGGTATAGGTCTTCACGACGATTATCGTGACTTCGAGTGTTAGGGGTGAGGACAAAGGCTGGCAATACTATTGGCTGCGGTAGGCGACCGTGTTTCCTTCAATTTTTCAAGATTCATCCTTGAAAAGTCGGTAAGGATTTCCACTTCCGGATCAACTCGAAAACTCTTGTCTCGTATATTACAGGCATGTCGAAGATGCATTTCGTGGGTGACCTCTTCTGAGGACGCACTAGAATTCCGCGCAACTATGAAGTGTTGCTGAGAACCGCTGGATGTTTCTATAAAGATTATAACTTATATAGCCTAACAGATTGGTGCTACTTTTAGAATCTTGTTCTTGACTGCAATCTGCTACAGTTTGGTGGATCAAGACGCCATCAACGAGAAGCTAATTCAAGCTTTATTTCGAATACCTGGGTACTCTTTGGTAACATAAATCAGCCCTAAATATCGCACAATACTCTGAAATATTGTTACCCCAGCTTTTCAATCATTGCTGGGGTGCTTTAAGGTAAAATGATTGGTTCAAGGCTCATGACTAAGCTTAAAATCTTGGCAGCACGAGCCATCTTCCACAAACCTCACTCTAGCTCCGACTAATAACCACGAACTCCTCACTGACCCTGCAACCGCTTAAACACTATACACCACCCTTCCATCTTTTTCACGAACCCATTTTATCTCCTTATTCGACTGAAATACCCCAAACTCTCCGTAAAACCCAACGAACGGGGTTAGAAGGACGAAAGAAATGGACATTCGGGTACTAAAACCGTCGGATATCCCGCACGTCCAGCTTGCGAATATTACGAATCTGCCGGAGAATTACTTCTGCAAGTATTATTTGTATCATGCGATGAGCTGGCCACAATTGAGTTATGTGGCTGTTGATGTGAGAGGATTTCTTTTAGTATTTTTTGTTTGCTTGTCCGATTCATGACGATTTTCCTTGGATTCTGAAAATAACATGGGAGGAATGAGCTGCAGTATTAGCCACGCTTTTGGGCTAGTTAGATTTTTTTGTGATTCTAGGATCTGGCAGCCGGTTGGCTTGATGGGTCCTGGGGCTCTAACTGTGTCTTATCGACTGCATTTCACTGTCTTCATGCGGGGGGAGGATGTCCTGCTCTTTTGTAGACCCTCACCTACCTCATTCATTTGCTTCTCTTGATATCTAGAGGAACCAGATGAGCCAGATCATGGTTCGGATTTTCCAAGCTTCTATCTCCCTCAGTCTTATTCGCTTGCGGCGCGGCCATATTTTCTCCCGAATTCATTTCCTTCGCTGATTTCTCTCATAATCTATTTAATTTCTCCCTTTCTCCCTTCCTTTCCTCCCACTCTATACTCCAAACCGCTCCAAACCTCAGCCCGCTAACAACACGCCCCTACTAGGTATCCCGTCCCCAAAAATCGCCATACGACCCGCCCAAAATCGTGGGCTACGTTCTCGCCAAAATGGAAGAGGAGCCTACAGATGGCGTGCAGCATGGACATATTACGAGTTTGAGCGTCATGCGGACGCATCGGAGATTGGGGCTTGCGGAGAAGCTTATGCGGCAGAGTCGTAAGTCGTTGTTATATTTTTTGGGGGTTTTGGAGTATTGAGTTTTGAGTTTTTTTTGGGGGCGCTTGGAGTTGTAGGTGGAGGGTGAGAATTAGGCGGATGGTTTTGGTGATTTCAACAGTTACGTGCCTACTGCTCACCCTCCCTCTCTTCTGCTCTAGGATCCCTGCACACAGCCGCGTCCAACATAACCCATATTCCCCGTCCTCCCCCTCCCCCTCATTCCAGACCTTCCCAACTAACTCCCCCATTCCAGAGCGGGCCATGCTAGAAACCTTCTCCGCCCACTACGTCTCGCTCCATGTCCGCGTCTCCAACGTCGCCGCACTCCACCTCTACCGCGACACCCTTGGCTTCAGTGTCGATAAAGTAGAATCGAAATACTATGCCGACGGCGAAGATGCGTATAGCATGCGTATGGAACTCTCGGACCTGCGGGTTGAGCTAATGGATGCCGAAAGTGACGATGAGGATTCAGGGGCGGATGTTGAAATGCAGGATGCTGATGATGCGAGTGTGGGCGTTGATGAGGGGGAGGCGGTTGGTAGTGAGGGTGGGCCGGCGAGGATGAGAGGTGGTGGGAAGGAGGGCGGGAAGGATGGGAAGGGGGAGAAGAAGAGGAGGGTTAAGGTTAAGGTAGGACGGGGGTTGGGTGTTGGGGAGTTGGTTGAGAGGAATGAGGCTACGAGTTGAGTTGAACCTTTCCTCGAACCACTTGTTTCTATCTGGTACGGAAGGGGTTTGACCGGTCCAACTTCCATGCCCAGAGTCAGGGAGCGTTTTCTGGCGTTAGCTGCATGCAGACTAAAAACTGGATGTACAGCAGGGGAAACACTGGGTGAAATGACAAACATGGAAGGGTAGGTGTATTATGTACGACAGTATTACGATAGAAGTATCGAAAAGCGCTAGTCCATCATATCATATTATCTACATATAGTCCAGCATTCCATGCAATGAAACTTTCCCACCGAAACCGAAGAAACTGAAAACACTCAGCTGTCATGCCCCATAAGTGGTATAAGTATGAAGATCGATTGCCCGAAATCAAGAAAACGACCCACTCGTAGCGCCATAGCCCATGCGGGAATTCTCTCCAATGCTTAGGTATCAGTTAGCCATCATGTCGTGATTCCTCCTCCTCTCTCCGGCATTCATCCCACCCTAACACATTCTCCCTGCTTCCCTTACCTTCCCTTCCCTTCCCTTCCCTTCTCTTTCCCAACCCCCGTCCCATCCTACATCAACCCCCCGAGCACCACCTTCCCCACCCCCCCCACCTCTCCCCTAACACCCTGTCTACAATTCTCCTCAAACTCCCTGACCACGCTGGCCAGAATAATCTTCCTCACCTTCGCGTCAGCCTTGCTAAACAAATCCCCAACCGTACTTGGCACGCCCCCACCGGCCGCTACAACCGAATCTGGGTTATGCAGGAGTGAGAGGATCTTGGTGTAGCAGTCGATGAGAACGTCGCAGAGGGTTGCAAAGGTGGAAAAGAAGTCTGGCTCGAAAGGGAGGGAGGGCGTTTGCAGGTGCGTGTAGGATTCGTTTGGGAGGAGGAGGTCGAAGTCTGGTGGGCTTGTGGCGTCGAATAGGGCTTGGGGGTTTGGATTGCTGCTGTCTGACGACGACGCGAAGGAGTTTTGCGGAGTAAGTAATGGAAATTCCGTAGTTGCGCTCGAACTCCGCCGTGCTTTTCCGCCAACGCCCATGACGTTGCGTTTGAACATTTGTGTCATTTTCCCACGACCTAGGGACGAGGAGGTCGAGCCGTCTGGAGGATGGATTTGTTGGTATTGCTCGAATTCAAGCAGGAGTGCGTTGAGCGCTTTGAGGTAGTCGGTGGGCGAGTTGGAGTTCAGGTCAAGAATGGTGGGGAGCGAGAAGCCAAGGAGGAGGTAGTTTGTTGCGCGGCGGGAGAGGTGGCGGGGGGAGAAGGAGGGGAGTCGAGTTAGGTCGGGTTTGGAGAAGAGGAGCGTGTTGAACCAGTATATGCGGCCTTCGTGACTGCCATATACAACTGAGATTAGCTACCATTTTTGGGTTTTAGGTGGAGCGGTGAGAGTGAGGGGGAAGGGGGCGCTTACGCCTTCCGTAGATAATCTAACGTGGATATCCGCTTGGACGCCATCTCGTGTATATGTTGGAATATGAGATTCGGATTATGCGCACCGGCACTCAAACTCGGAATCGGAGCCGCGGGTGCAAGACCTCCGCTGAAATTGGCCGCATATGCACTCTGCTGTCGCTGCGCCTGCTGGATCTCCTTCTGGGATGGCGGATACCTGAGCGGGACTGCCATGCCGAATGGTGTCTTGGGGTTGTCCACTGCGCTCAGCGGGCTCTTACTGTACCCCTGTCCAGCGCTGCCGTCGCCGGGTTTGACGTTCTCGGAGCTCTTTTTGCTCCGGGAGAATGTGGAGATGGAGAGGGCGGGGCGGGAGGAGCTGGATGCGGTAGCGGCATTAGCAGAGGAGGATTTCTCTGGCGAGAAGGAGAGGGCCAGGGTGGCGGAGGGGCTCCTCTTATGCGAGGAGGCAGAGACAGAAGCAGAGGCAGATGTGTGGGTAGAGCTATTGTTGGTGCGCAGACTGGCGCTGCGGGACCGTCGCAAAGTCGACCCTATGTCCGCGACAGACGAGCTGAAGCTGTGCCGTGAGGCGTGTCTGCGGTGTGCAGGCTTCGGTGGTAGTGCGGGTGCAGGTGGCGTTGTGGGCACTTTCGGGGGAGGATCGGATTGGTTGGGGATGAGAGAGGGGATGAGAGAGGGGACGTCGAAGGGGGAGTGGAGGAGGGATGATTTTACGGGAAGGGGAAGTGGAGGATTGGTGGTGGAGGTAGACGGAGTGACGGCACGGGAGGGAGCGAAGGGGGATTTCGATCTCTTGTTCCTGCCGAAGATGGAATTCTTCCTGGAGAAGAGGCTGCCGGTGTGCAGGTTGGGGTCCGCCATTATTGTGTGCCCTTCCCGATCCCGAGTCTGGGGGAGCGACTAGCGCAGGGGTAGATCGGGGACGGCTTTTTCACCTGCGACGACACAGGGCGAGGTGCGGGCCGGCACTCATGCTCCCGGTGTGAGAGATGGACACGAGATGGAGGAGCGATGCGATGGGCGAGCGATGCGGAGGGCGAGGCGATGGGGAAGGCATTCGGTAGATAGGGACACGATACAGCAGCCATGGGTAAGCCGGAGATTTTGTAAGAGGGCTCTCTGCTGTCGCCGCGTCAAAAGCAAAGCGCGCGACTGCTGCGACGCCGACTTCATACCTTTACAAGGCAGCACGACGCAGGAACGCAGGCTTGCCCGTAGGATGACGGCCCTCCCCGTCGCCTGGTTGCGCTGCTCTCGTCCACTCCTGCCCAGTGACCCCGCAAAGAGGCGCCCAACGCTGCGACATCCTGGTCGCCTCTTCTCCACTCACCTGCCAACATTCACACACGCACAGCTTGTATGCACCACCACAGCCGGCACGTGCACACATCGGAACAAGCAACCCCAAGCTGGCCACTGATTGTCTTTGATTGCGGCTCGAGCCAACGGCGTCCCTCCTCTCCCTCTCCCTCCCCCTCGTCCCGCCAACGTCAGTCATGATCCGCAGACACAGCGCAAAGGTAACCCGCACCAGCACTCATACCCACACCCGCACTCATACCCACACCCGCACTCATACCCACACCCGCACTCATACCCACACCCGCACTCATACCCACACCCGCACTCATACCCACACCCACAACCACGCCCACACCCAAACCCACATCTGCACCCGCACCCGCACCCTCACCCACTCCCACCCTTTGCACGCAAGCCATCTCACACTCGCCGCAGGGAGAGTGGATTCCTTCATCTGGCCAATGGCCCGTCGAGCCCCAAGACGACGTCCGTGTTTCGAACGACCGCATCTGGATCGATGGCTGCTTTGACTTTAGCCATCACGGTAATGCTTCACCTTCTCACGCACACACACGCACACACACACCCAGGGACGTGACTGATTCCCCTGCGCATAGGCCATGCCGGCGCCATGCTGCAGGCCCGCCAATTGGGCTCCGAGTTGCTCGTCGGCGTGCATTCGGACGAGGCCATCCTCGAGAATAAGGGCCCGACGGTGATGCGCCTGGACGAGCGGTGCGTCGCTGTGTTGACGGTTGCCGATAGAGGCTGATGTGTTCTGAGCAGTGTCATGGCCGTCGAAGCCTGTCGCTGGGCGACCCGCGCCATACCGAAAGCCCCATATGTCACGTCCCTGCCGTGGATAACGCACTATGGATGTCAGTTTGTGGTGCATGGAGACGACATCACCTCGGACAGCAACGGCGAAGATTGCTACCGCTTCGTCAAGGCCGCCGGCCGATTCAAGGTTGTGAAGCGCACGCCTGGTATTTCGACGACGGATCTCGTAGGCCGCATGCTGTTGTGCACCAAGACGCACTTTATACACTCCCTGGAGAATATGCTGGCAGGGGAGGAAGGTCCCGGTGGTGAAGAGGAGCGCAAGAAGACGGGAGAGGCGATGCTGCAGCGGATAAAGGACTATGCGACCGACTCCTCTGGCCTTGCCCCCGGATGCGACGTCTGGTATTGGCATGCGTCGAGGCCGGCAAAGGAGCGCAGGACCACCCAGAGCTCTAGCTCCGGCGAGAGACGTCTGAGCGCCGGCAACCACTCGAATCCGCACCACCATCACCATTCTCATCACGCGGTGAAGGAGGAAAAGGGCAAGTTTACTCGGCTGGTCGAGGGGAAGGGTGTTAAGCCCGGTCAAGCAGTGATATATGTCGATGGAGGCTGGGATCTGTTCTCCTCGGGACACATCGAATTCCTGCGGCTCGTCACGCAGACCGAAGAGGATGCCGCAAAGGACAGAGGCTGGTACACCGACGAAGCGAAGAAAGAGCGGATAGAGAAAGCCGGCGAAGACTACGGCCCGGTATTCCTAGTCGCAGGGATCCACGACGACGATGTCATCAACCACTGGAAAGGCATCAACTACCCCATCATGAACATCTTCGAACGGGGCTTGTGTGTTCTACAGTGCAAGGTACGCCATCGCATGCTCTCTCCATCCACCCCTCCCCCCACTCTAGCCCGCGAAGCTGACGTCATCCAAGTATGTCCACTCAGTAGTCTTCGGAAGCCCCTTCTCCCTCTCCAAAGCCTTCCTCCTGACCCTCCCCTACAACACCCCTGTCGCCGTCTACCACGGCATCACCTCCTTCATGCCTCTCACCTACGACCCCTATGCGCCCGCTAAATCTCTCAACATCTACCGCGAAATCGAAAACCATGATTTCCAGAACGTTAATGCGGGCGAGATTGTGGAGAGGATTATGAAGGGGAGGGCCATGTATGAGGAGAGGCAGAGGTTGAAGGGGGAGAAGGGGGTGACCGAGGAGGTGGAGAAGAGGAGGCAGGAGTTGGAGAAGGAGGCGGAGAGGGATAAGAGGAGGAGGGAAGTTGAAGGACAGTTTGGGCTGTAGTTTCTATATTGGGGACTCGGGAAAGGGTTATGCTTCAACAGCAGAACCACCTCTGGGAGGGGAAAGGATGAATTGGATAGAATTCTTGCACGGCAGGCAAGCGTGGAGCGCTCCTATAGCGGTGCAGAATGTTAGTGGTGAGATGCGCTGTGTACACGAGATTACGCCTTCTCAAACTTCTATACAAAAGCAAACGGTTTAATACGAAAGACATTCTCCTCTCGTGTATCATACATAGCTAAATCACTCATCAAACAAACGACTTGTGGCATTCGGCAATTAGACTAGCGCGCCATTATCTCCGCTCGCTAATTTTTTGGAAATCTTGGCGTCAACGAAAATTATTTCTTCCAGCCCTCACTTCCAATCCTCACTCGCAAACCTCAACTTCTCCCAACGACGCAATTCATCCAACCAAGAAACTGCGGGTTCAGGCGAGCGGTACAATGGGACGTAACAAAGAGCGTAAAGCGACAAAGAAAGCCATCAAAGCAGCGAAGGCTGAAGCATCCACGACCCTCGCCCAAGACCATGCCCAAGAAACAATTGTGCAGAGCAGTGAAGAACTAGATATTGAGATGGAGATTGCGGACCCGACAGCTGAAGCGCCTGTGGCTGAGAGTGATGTGGGGGCGATGTCGGCGGCTGCGCGCGATGGATCAACACTACCGGCGCTACCGAGTCTGTATGAAGCGAAGTTGAATCCGGAGGGGGGGATTAGTATTGGAGAGGCGCCGGTGGGGTGGGGCAGGAAGGTGAAAAATAGTAGGGGTAAGGGTAAGGAGCAGAGTGGAGAGGCAGAAGTCGAAGTTGGCGCTCAGGGACTAGGAGTGGGAGTGGGAGAGAAAGACAAAGACGTCGTTGTGGAGGACGTGGGGGAGGATATGATTGCTGCTGCTCTGCCGTCCGCATCCAAGGACAGGGGTAGGGTCAAGGTCAGAAAGACGCAGAGTACCGAACCCAACTCCCTCAAATCCCTCTACACAAACGTCTCTAGCATTGAAGATGCAGAGATCGAAGCGTATCGAAATCGCGAAACTAAACGCCATAAGAAAAACAAGAACCCCAAGAGCACAGCGGCCAAAGACGACGGTAACAAAACTCCACAATTCCTCCCTCTTCCGGCAACCATACCACCCCTCAACCGTACCGAACCAGACCTCCAGCCGCTCCTCCAGCCCTGGGATTTCATACCGAAGGACGTTTGTGCTGCTGTTGAAGCTCGCGTCGGTGGCTCGGAAGCGTTTTGGAAGGCCAACACCATCCCCATCGTCATCTCCCGAAACTCTGACTTCAAATCCAGCATCAATAAGATCAAATCTTATCTCGGGGCTTACCGCAACCCGCTTTCTACTATCCCCATGCCTTCTACCCCCATACTCAAATCCGCAAATCTGATTATTCCGGTGGCAGCACAAGGTGTGGCGACCTCGAAATTGGTTAGTATAGTAGAGATGGCGAAGAGAGTTGTTATGCCCAGCCAGACTAGGAGTGGCATTGTGCTGGAGGATGAGGATACTAAGCAGAAGGTGGAGGAATGGTATGCGTATACGAGTTTGGGGGGGAGGCTTGTGAGGAGTGGGAAGAGTCAGGGTGGGAAGAGGAAGAGGAGAGGGAATAGGGGTGTGGGTGAAGCTGAGACTGGGACTGTAGATGTAGATGTGGATATGGGTGTGGCTGCAGCTTTCCGTGCCGAAATGGGCGGTGGGGGGGTAGAACATGGCACTGTCGCACTCCCTGACTCAGGCAACGAATCCGCATCTGAATCCGCATTCGAACAACTCCAGCGCGGCGAAGACGCCCCTGCAGTAGCTCTAGCCCCCTCACCCGAACTCGTACCCGATTTCCAGAGCAATAGCGACTTCAAGCAAACATCTTTTCCCGTCATCACGATCTGGCTGGCCAGATCAGAGATCCCGGAATTCAGAGATGCGTTTGGTGAGCAGAGGTTTAAGGTGCTGGGGCTGGGGGAACAGGATTGGGAAGGGTTTGAGAGGAAGATTAAGGTCCCAGTTACGAGGAAAGATCCTAAGAAGAACGGGGGTAAGAAGGGGAGGAAGGGGGTTAGTGGGGGTAAGGTTAAAGCTGATGCGGAAGCGTTGATGAAGAGAATGAGTGTTACGACGAGTGAGGAACTTGCTGCTGCAGAGGCTGGAACAGGAGTTAGGGCTGAGGGTGAGGGGAAGGATTATAAGGAGTCGAAAGAGGGAAAACGGGCGCATGTTAAGGCGAAGATGAGGCCGAGGAAAGAGAGGAGCGGTGATACGAGGAGCGGCAGCGCTTCTACTGGTGACGCAGGTATTGCAACCGAGGAAAATGAGGCTGAGATGGTAGACATGGTTACAGTTCCTGTTTCTAGCGAGCCTATCGTGACTCCCAAGCCTAAGACGAAGGGGAACAAGAGCAAGAAGACTACAGAAGCCATAGCTAAGAAGGTCTCCGCAGAAGTCGAAATGGCGGATGCTCCCGTTGGGGTTGTAGACGAGGTGTTGGATTTCGAACAGCTGGAAGCCGGAGCTGGAAATACTTAGGAGAAGGCCTCTCGAGGCTGGTCGGCTGGTCGCGAATATAGAGATTTGGGTGGGACAACTCCCTATCGTGCGCGGACGGTAGGGTTATATTGTCTGTCCTCGGCCTACGTATGGGCAGTTCAGAGTAGCCTGAAGGGGGCGTACAAGTGTAATGCATGCATGAATTCGTATGAATGTTTTCTGGTTTAAAGCTTCACGACCCTAGCGAAACCAAATTATGACCGAAATACAAATAGAAAAACATTTTCTTCAAGGTATTTCAAATACTCAAATACTCACTTTCTCTGTGCTGTAGTGTCAATGTGGTAGTGCCCTTTCTCTCATCTCCACCCCAAAGAATTTCTTAATATTCTTTGTCTACTGAAGTCGGTATGTAGAGAACCTTAGAGCGTAGATAGAGGTTGGGGGGTAAGGACGGCTGAGCGAATCTGGGGACTTTGGCGCAAGGCACGGTTGACGGTGAAATCGAACCCGGAGGAACACTGACAGCGAGTCGAATGAAAGTCTATTGTACACTCCGACACGGAACTAGACACAGAGAGAGTCGTTACTGCCATGATTCGTATATACAGACCAGCTGCATATGGATGCCTTGCCCGCCTACTATGCAGCACACGCAAAGATCCAGAAACCTCCAAACATGTACAGTATGTAGAATCGCTGCAAAAAAAAAAATCAAGTAAATGAAGCAGAGACAGCAACGGAAATAGATTGAACAAAACCGCATGCTCGAATACCCGTTACTGTTCCTACACCATATCCCCATATGCCCTCGCCCTAGCCTGTCCATTTACCATCCACTCATTCCCCGGAAATCCTTGCGCGTGTCTCAACACGGCTAGGCCCTTTTTAATCCCCAGCTCAGTCGCCAGAAACTGCAAGATATTATGGATCCAATCTCGTCGTGCCGCTACGTCAATGGAAGAAGGCTGCCTGATGGTGAAGTCGAGTGGGGGTAGTGAGGAGCTGAAGTCGAAGGGATGGGGGGGACTGGAGTCGAAGATGTGGAGGGAGTCGTTTGGGAGGAAGGGGTGTGCGTTTGGGGGGAGCGCGGGGGGGAGCGCTAGTGGGGTGACGCACGATAGTGCTGGTGCTGGGTTGAGGACGTCGGCATCATCGGGCGTAATGGTTGCTGAGTTAAAGAACGTGTTCGGAGTCGAGTCGGAATGCGGGATATGAGGAGGAAAGTGTGTATCAGGTAGAGTCGATATCGAAGGTTGTTGCACATCTCTTGATGTTGTCGTCGCTGTCGTTGTCGACGCACGATTCACCAATGATCCTGAATCTGGAACCATCCCGAGTTTCAAAATCGCGTCCATAACCCCAAGACTCCAAAACGGAGTGTACCCTCTCAAACCCATGACATCATCCAACGACTTCCCCCAGACTGGCACCGTGAAATGGCTCAGCACCGCCGAGCAGCTTTGCTCAATGACAGTAACTAGATGCGTAGTTGCAAACGCGTGATTGATCTGGAGCGTAATATTATCCAGCGGCCATTGGTTCGTCATTATATGCGGATCAATGTCGGCCGCGCCGTCCGTATGCGTCTCCGGCTCCGGCTCCGGCAACCGCAGCATCCAGTTTATAATCTCAATGATATCACGGAGGAGAAACATGCGACTTGTACGATAAAAGCTCCAGATCCATGCCCTTTTCAATGACGTGTAGCAATGGATTTCCTTCGGCGCGCCCCGCGCTCCCAGCACTAGATTCACCCACTTCGGGTCATATGTGCCTCGGACTTCAGGAGAGTTCATTTCGATCTGGTAGCGCCATACGCGCGGAATTGTATTTTCCCAGGCTTGGTACTCGGCGTCAAGCTCTAGACCTCTTTGGAGGAGACGTCGGAAGGCGGAGCGGGTTGTGGGGGGCGATGAGACCTGCTTGAAGTCTTGCCATTCTGCGTGTAGGTGCGTCACGCTGTGGATTAATCGGATTACGTAGATTCCTGAGGTGCTGTACATTGTCGGGATGTATTCTTTTGCAGTGTTAAAGTCTCTGATAGGGAGGGGAGGAGCCTTTGCAGACTGTAAGTTGCCGATAAGCTATGAGGTTGGGATCAGTGCACCTATATCAACATGCCTAGGAGAGAGAGAGCTAACCATTTGGGCGTACGAAACTTCATACAGTCGGGCAGAGATGGGGTTACTGTAGAACTCCCCAACAGTGCGCAGTTGCAAGAGGGCATTTGCGCCTTCCTTGTGCGCCAGAAAGGAGCCATTATAGACTGAGGATGTAATGTTCTGGAGCACGGGTTAGGACGAAAAGGGGAGGCTGGAAGGAGATGGTACCTCATATACGCCCATGAGATAGACTGCAGCAAGGGTTTCGTCGGTACCCGCTTGTTTTGGATCTGCTATTGCCTTTTGCAAAAGCTTTATCCCCTTTCCGATATGCTCCTCCGCAAGCCCAAGGGCTTGGGGTGCATTACATCGGGAGCTAAAGTTGGCATAGGATATAGCACTAATAACGGCCGCTAGGCATGATCCCTCCGCAGATCTTTGATACAAGAGAGGTAGAAAGTCCCATATCGCATCAGAGGGCTCGTCTGAATTTTTGTTTGGCGTCTCGAGGACAATCCAATCGTATAGAAAACGCTCATAGGCTAGACGATGTAAATCAGGCGGAAGGCTATGGCTGACAGAGAGGTTGTTAAAGTCTGCGAGAGACGCAGATGGATCAGAGGCTAGGTCGCTCCTTGGAGAGCTGTGGTTGCTAGGAGGGGATTGATGCGTGCTAGGAGAGGAATGGTAGCTGCTGCCATCACTCTCAGCGCGCTGGTGCGACTTGGACCTCTTGCGCCATGACTCTTCGGCCTTCTGCGCAGCAAATGCAGTCTGGTTCCGAAAAAGCAAATCCGACTGATCACGATACTTGCAATCGTGGTTGGACTTGTGGCAGCGGTTGCAGATGGGTTTCGTTTCGTCGCACTGTTTCGGGAAATGTCAGTGAGTGTCAGTAAAAGACCCGATCCGGTACCCGGGGCTTGGGACACTCGATTGGAGTTGGGATTTATTCAAGGTGGACAGATCTCCCGCAAACGGGTTCGAAAGTATGTGGAATTGTGTAACATGTACCTACTTTAACTTTACGAGCTCTGCAGGATTCGCATCCTTTACTGGGGCGGCCGCGATACGACATAGTGGTAAGGTGCCTGATTGAGGAAATGGGAGCGAGGAAGAAATGGTGGAGATATAAAGGGATGCGGGCGGGTAACACCAGACCTTTGAGAGAGCTATCTGACACTGGAACTGGCTCACCAATAGATTCTCGGCAATTGGAAGATCCTAAGGCTTGATCCAGGTAAGCTTTTGGCATGTAGTGAGTGCGTGAGAGCCAGCCATTCCGAAGCCTGGTTAGTGCCCCCAGGCATGCGGTCCTCGATTGGCGGCAGACTGTGACGGGATACGTACGAGACGACGGTCGTTTTCCAGGGTGTGTACGAGATCGGGCAAGGTAAGTTGCTTGGCGCCAAGTCTCGAGGTTGACCGAGTTTCAACCCCAATCTAGTGTTCTCGAAGAAATGAGCCGAAGAGAGATGACCCGAATGGATTGAAACTATGGCCTCGTTAATACCAACTTCTTCTTAAATTAATATGTGCGCGCTGCCTTGGCTTGGGTTCCTCGGCCGACGCACAGCCTGCCTCCACGTCTTCATGCGCCTCACAAGCACAGCTGGCCCTCAAGCACTCAGCTGAACAGCGATGTTTGAAGCAGTGATTAGACCACTCCAGTCCAAACGCGGGTGACCTTGCGAAGAGATCGCCCCGCATTGTTTGGTAGAGCTGAAAACGCGCGGGAGGGAGTTCTCTCCTCGCCCTGTTAACCACATTAGTCCTAGCTAGATATGACCACGACAAGGCCGCCACGCGAAAAGAGCCTTAGGTACTTATATTCAAGGTCTTCTACTATCAAAATGCCCTTCATCTTCTCGAGTATTACTACCAACATATATAAAGTCCTTCTATTACATCGTCTTTTTTCTTAGTGAGAATTGCCTGTCGTCCAGCTCTCCAACTGCAATCATACTTTGTCATATATATCCGCGAACATGACGAAAGAGATACCATCTCCTCCTACCCTGCCAATCCTCGGGAATCTCCTCAATATAATGCATGCGACTGGTTCCGGGGAGGATGCAAGAGATGCGGGTCCTATCAAAGCATTGGAAAGACTTGCCGACCAGTATGGACCAATCTACAAGCTCCAATTGAACGGCCAAGAGAGGATTGTGTGCGCCAGTTACGATCTGTTTGAGGAGCTGTGTGATGAGACACGATTCTACAAGACACCAGGGCCTGCTCTGCAGTCATTGCGAACGGAACTGCCCCCAGGCTTGTTCGTGGCACCAACTGAGAACCACCCGGACTGGAGGCAGGCCCACAGGATTCTCATGCCCGCTTTTGGCCCACTGGCTATTCGAAACATGTTCGATGGTAAGTGTAATCCATGTCTTTCCTACGAATGCTCCTTCACCTGGTTCGTGAAGACCAAGAAGCTGGAGCTCGACTTGCTCCCGATTGCTGACCTTAATCAGAGATGCATGACGTTGCGAGCCAGCTTGTCCTAAAATGGGCCCGTAGAGGCCCAGAGTACAAGATTGCTGTCACTGAGGACTTTACACGCCTGACCTTGGATACCATCGCTCTCTGCGCTATGGACTTCCGATTCAATTCCTTCTACCATGACGAAATGCATCCATTTGTTTCGGCAATGCTCGGCGTTCTTTCGTCCGGTTTGAGGCGACAGCGAACACCGAAGCTCATTCAGAAGTTTCAATGGTCGGAAAACGAGCAACTGGCTAAAGATAGCAGTTATCTAAAGGAGGTGTCCAAAAACATAGTGAGACACCGCCGCGAAAACGCATCAGATAAAAAAGACCTGCTCAATGCCATGTTGAACGGCAAGGACCCCAAGACTGGGGAAGGCATGCGAGATGATCTGATTGCCTCGAACATGATCACATTCCTAATTGCTGGTGCGGAAGATACCCTGCCATAGCAAATTGAGACTAATGTTTATCTAGGTCATGAAACTACATCGGGTCTCCTATCTTTCGCATTTCATAACATGTTGAAGAACCCAGTTACCTACTTCAAGGCCCAACAAGAAGTAGACAGAGTCATAGGCAGGGGCAAAATTACGGTCGATCACCTCAAGGACTTCCCATATATCAACGCAATTCTTCGGGAAACTCTTAGGCTCACTCCGACGGCACCTGCCTTTACTCGCGGTGTTCGGCCTGAGAATAAAGAAGACATCCCTATAGTTGGAGGATACAAAATCAAGCGGGAGTGGAGCGTACTTTGCTTGATAGCCAAAATTCAGAAAGACCCGAAGATTTACGGAGAAGACGCCAATGAGTTCCGTCCAGAACGAATGCTGGATGAAGAGTTCAATAAATTGCCAAAAGCGGCATGGAAGGTACGTTTTTGGCAAGATTGCTATTGCAAAGCTAAGTGGAACAGCCATTTGGGACCGGCATGAGGGCTTGCATCGGCCGACCATTCGCTTGGCAAGAAGCTCTGCTTGTCACCGCACTTCTCCTCCAGAACTTTGATTTCAAAATGGATGATCCAAATTACAAAATGAGGATCAAGTCCAACCTGACCATTAAACCGAAGGGGTTCTACATGAGAGCTTCTTTGCGAGAGGGAATTACCCCCATAACCCTCCAACATACCCTTTCGGCGTCAAAAGATGATGGTGAAAAGTATACTAACGTCAGTAATTCGGCACAACCAGCAGAAGAGCTAAGCGGTAAGCCTATGACCATTCTATATGGTTCTAATACAGGGACTTGCCAGTCTTTCGCCCAGAAGCTCGCGACTGATGCACGTATATATGGATACCAAGCATCAGTCAAGGACATGGACTCTGGAGCGAGCATACTTCCCACCGATCAACCAGTCGCCATCATTACTGCGAGCTATGAGGGTCAGCCTCCGGACAATGCAGCTCAGTTTGTTGCTTGGCTTGAGTCGATGGAAGAAGGACAGCCCTTGAAAGGAGTTTCCTTTAGCGTTTTTGGCTGTGGCCACAAAGACTGGGCCTCAACATTCCACCGCATTCCTAAGCTAGTAGATAATGCGCTCGAGAAACTTGGTGGCGAACGCTATGTTGAGCGCGGTTCATCGGATGGATCCCAAGGTGATATGTTCTCTGATTTCGACCAATGGGCTGAGACGAAATTCTGGCCAGCCATACTTTCGAAGTTTGGAGCCGGAGATGCATTAGGAAATACTCAAGAGATTCAAGTCAACATGGAAATCTCGACGACAACTCGCGCGTCGCAGCTTCAGCATGATGTCGAACAAGGCAAGGTCACCGCAGCCAAAGTACTGACGGCACCCGGGGAGCCGGAGAAACGACAGCTAGACGTGAAGCTGCCTGAGGGAATGGAGTATGAGGCAGGCGACTATCTTGCCGTGCTACCGCTGAACCCGGATGGGAGCGTTCGTCGTGTTCTCAAACGATATTCCTTGCCATGGGATGCGGTTGTGACGATCAAAGCTGGAGGTCCAGTGACCCTGCCAGCCAACCAGGCAGTATCGGCGTTCGATCTGTTAAAGGGGTTCGTCGAGCTGTCCCTACCGGCAACGAGGAAGGTTGGTATTCATCAACTGGTATCTCATAAATATCTCTAATTTAGACATAGAACATACAGACACTGAAAGGCTTTACCTCTGACCCAGAGACTTTAGTCACACTAGAAATCCTCTCCGGTTCCAACTATCACACTGAAATCATCACCAAACGTCTCAGTATCCTTGACATCCTCGATCTGCACGCCGCCATCAATCTTCCATTCCCGGAGTTCCTCGCGATGCTGCCACCAATGCGACCACGACACTACTCCATCTCCTCTTCACCCCTCAAAGACCCGACAACCTGCAGCATAACCTATGGCGTCATCAACGCCACCTCCCTCGCAGGAACCGGTCGCTTCCAAGGCGTCGCAGGCACATACCTCAGCTCTCTATGCTCTGGCGACGCCATTTCTGTCTCCGTCCGATCTGCTACCCGTGCTTTCCACCTCCCTGCAGACCCATCCACTACCCCTATCATCATGTTCTGTAACGGCACCGGCCTCGCGCCATTCCGCAGCTTTGTGCAAGAGCGTGCTACTCAGATCGCTTCAAACCCCCATATCGCTCTCGCACCTGCTATCTTGTTCATTGGCTGTCGCGCCAAATCTGCCGACTCTATTTACGCGGAAGACTTCGCGCAATGGGCCAAAGCGGGTGCGGTGGACATCCGGTACGCATTTAGTCGTGAGCCGAGCCATCCTGAAGCTGCAGGTTGTAAGTATGTGCAAGACCGCATGTTGCGGGATAAGAAGGATGTGTTTGAACTGTGGGATAACGGCGCAAAGGTCTTTCTTTGTGGGTCTCCGGGGATGGTAGAGGGTATTAAGAGGACGGCAAGGGTGTTGGTGGAGGAGAGGAGGGGAGTAATGGGGAAGGATGTGGGAGAGGATCAAGTTGAGGGGTTTTTTAGGAGTATGAGGAATGAAAGGATTGCTGTTGATGTTTTTGCTTAGATAAGTAGGTGCATAGATGGGGTTGGGGAGCTGGAACTTGAATCTCGTCTGTGTCTGTATAATAGGATGACTTACAGGCGAGTTGACTCGATATTGACTAATTTGTACAAACTCCTCGCCCTCGAAGCACCTATCGTCTTCGTACTTCAGGCTACACTGTATTCGGCTAGTCTATCCGATATCCCATACCCGATTCCCGACCAATCAGCACCCCCAACAGGTTATCCCTTCCTCCCGCTTCCCCCACGCACGTTCCACCGCGGGACAGGAGTGCGGGACGGGTCCCGATCCGGACCTCCCAACGCCACCCGAATGCTTGCTTCTGTCCAGGTCCCCGCATAGATGGGATTTATGAAGTCTGCAATGGGTTTTGAGAAGGTTGTTGTTCCTCTCGTTCCATTTGACGAAGGAGACAGAGAAGGAGCGAAGTTGTAGAACAGTGACCCGGCTGCAACAGATCTGGTCACGAACCGCAGCATCGGGATGGGTGGGTCGATGGCGGAAGGGATTGAGTGGGATGGGGAGATGAAGGAAGGGGAGGACGGCAGTTGAGTGGTTAGTGTTTAATGCTGTGCCACAATGCTGCATGCTTATCGCGCTGGGGAAGGGGATTTCTGTACGACCCGGATACTTTCTGGTCTGGGAACGTCTTCCTTCTTGTCATCGACATCGACGTCTCACGCTCTGCATCATTTTGAGGTGCGATTTTCAAGCCTTCAGAGGCAAGTTTGAGGGCGGATTTCAAGTCAATGGTTTGGATTCATCCTTGAAACAATCTTTACGCGTGGTTTATCCAAACCGTATAGACGAACTAAATACACTTCAATCGATCCTGCTCTCCTCTTGAACGGTCCGCTCTGCGCAATTTCAATCACAACTCCAATCTTCAACCATGGCAATGGAAACAACAGTCTCCTCCAAGCCCTCTCAGCCCTCTCAGCCCTCCCTTCCTACCTCCTTCGTCGACGAAAAAGCCGAAATCACTGACGAATTCCAAACCGCCGTTGAAGGCACCTCTAGCTCATCATGGAACGACACACACCAAGACATCCTCGACATGGCGCGACTCGGCAAGAAACAAGAATTCAAGCGCAACTTCGGATTCCTCTCTACCCTCGGCTTCGTGTCCATCTACATGGCGACCTGGGAATTCGTTCTCGTATCCCTCAGCGCTGGATTGATAAATGGCGGGCTCGCGGGCTTATTTTGGATGTTTATCGGCACGGTGACGTGCTACTCCACAATCGTAGCGAGTTTGGCAGAAATGGAGAGTATGGCGCCAACGAGTGGGGGCCAGTATCATTGGACAAGTGAGTTTGCGCCAGTGCAGTATCAGAAGTGGTTGTCGTATGCGAGTGGGTGGATGAGTACGCTTGGTTGGCTAGCCAGTGTGTCGTCTTCTACGTTCGTGGTAACGACGCTAGTGGAGGCGATGATTGACATCACGGAGCCGGATTTTGCGTTTCCGAATTGGCAGTATACGCTCATTATGCTTGCGTTTTTGGTACTCACGATTTTTTTGAATACCTGGGGGGCAAGGAGTTTGCCAATGTTAGAAACGGTAAGTCTGTTCGCGCATTTGGGAGGTTGGGTTGTAACGTTTGTTGCGCTATGGGTTATGTGCCCTAGGAATAGCGCGAGCGACGTGTTTCTGAATGTGGTGAACAATGGTGGGTGGAGTAATGTTGGGACGAGTTGTTTGATCAGTCAGGTTACTGTGATTTACTGTAATCTTGGTAAGCCTAATCATAACCCTCGATTCGTGGGCAAGTTCGTTCCCAGCAACATCTTAATGGCAAATAGGATCCGACTCCATCGTCCACATCTCCGAAGAAGTCGAAGATGCCTCCCTCGTCGTCCCACGCTGCATGTGGTGGTCCTACATCGTCAACGTCCTGCTCGGAATCCTCATGCTTATCACCATGCTCTTCGGCATCGGCTCTCTCGACTCCGCACTCGACTCCACAGCTCCTTACCTCAACCTCTTCACCAACACTGGGTCAACCGGTATGGCGCTCTTCCTCTCAATCCTCCTCTTCCTGCTCATCTTCTCTGGAAACATCACCGCGCTCGCCACCTGCTCTCGGGAACTATGGGCCTTTTCAAGAGATAAGGGGTTCCCATGTAGTCGCTGGATATCGCGCATGAACCACAAGCAAAACGTCCCGTTTAATTCTGTCTATCTCACGTCGGTGCTAAGTGCGGTGTTGTGTCTCATAAACATGGGCTCAACCCTCGCCTTCAACATCATCGTCTCCCTCTCCCTCCTCGGAATCCTCTCAACTTACATGCTCTCAATCGGCTGTCTCCTCCTAAAACGCCTTAAGCACGAGCCCCTTCCACACGCGCGTTGGTCTCTAGGTCGCTTTGGCCTCCCAATCAACATCTTCGCGTTCTTCTACTGTGGGTTTGTCATCGTGTTTGCGTGTTTCCCGGTTGCGGTGCCAGTGGCGTTGGATACGGCGAATTGGGCGCCTTTGGTGTGGGTTGCAGTCATTGTTTTGAGCGTAGTGGTGTATTTCGTGCACGGGAGACAGAATTATACGCCGCCGGTAGAGTTTGTGGAGGGAAGGAGGGAGGCGGGGAAAGGATTGCAGGGTGTGGATTGACTAGTGAGGGGTGCGGGGGAGGATTTTGAGATGGAGAGGCTGGTTGGGAATCGGGAATTGAGTGAAGAAGGCGGAGGAGAAGAGCATCATGATCTTAATTTGTAGGATTGAATACAGGTAATGGCCATTGGAAGTTAGCATAAAAAGTGACTAGGCACTAGATATCTACTTCAAGAAATACCTTATTGACTCACTAACCCTCATAGCAAACCTATACACGACATCAGCAAACCATTTTACAATTCAAACATGTTCATCTTTCTAATCTATCCCCTCCAAAAACTACGCATACGTAAAATACCCCAGTCCTACAGAGTTAATCTCCCTCACCACCTCCTCATCTAATTGATTGCCCTCGGAAGTCACTCTGAATATAAATACTAACTCAAACTATTAGGAGGGGGAGGGGAGATGGATCTGGAGAGAGAAATCCCAAACTGCCAGCATTCGTGGGAGCAATAGAAGGGATGGTCGATGAAGAGGTAGGTGTCGGCGATGCAGACGGCTTCGCACCGACAGGTTGTGCCGCAGCCTAGGGATTGTGAGTTGTAGTTGGGCTCAGTTAGGTTATGGAAGAAGGGAGAGGTGCCAGGAGCCCTACTGCAATGACAACAGAAGAGTGAGAGGGATATGAACCGCATCGTGTTCTGCTAGATATTTCGGCGGGGCTTCCTAGAACAACGCAAACCAAGGGTCAACTTACAAAAATATCTCCATCTATATTTCGCGATCGCGCCCCGGTCCCGTATTAACCGTACCATATGCTCCCACCAGTGGGCGCATCCTCATCCTGTATCAGGAGTAACGTTGAAAAGGTCACCCGGTCGTACTTTTCAGTCCGTATCGCTTAGTGACCACCTAAGGCCTACGGGATTCGCGCTTGAGATTCTGGAGCGTGATCGTGGAATTATTCTAAATTTCCAAACAACATGAGCTGCAGCATGGAAGAGCGAGAACCAAGACTAAATGCCAAGAGGCAAATACGCGCTTTCATCTGATATGTATGGCGGAATATTGAGGGAGGTACTATGAAGAGTTACAATTCTCAACGCAGATGCGGCCATGTGCCTTCCAGCCGATTTTGTACGCAAATCCCAAATAACTGCAGCATTAGCATGTTGCCCACGGTGTATCTTACCGTTCTCAGAACTTTACGCGAAAAGGCGAATCCCAGGCGAGGCCAGACAGTCCTTTTTCATACCGCCGCTGGCGGTGTGGGCATCGCGGCTATCAACTATGCACAGTCGGTCGCAGCCACAATCTACGCGACAGTCAGTTCACCGGAGAAGGTCGCTTTTCTGATTAACGAGTTGGGCGTAGCAAAAGAAAATATCTTCTCCTCTCGCGAAAACAGCTTCTTGGATGATGTCATGAGGGCAACCCGCGGTCGTGGAGTAGACGTAGTACTTAACTCACTGTCCGGTGATTAGCTGCATGCTTCCTAGGAATGTGTTGCGCTAGGAGGGAGCACGATTGAGATCGGCAAGAGAGACCTTCTTGGGCGCGGAAAACTGGCTATGAACCCGTTCTTGGCCAATCGATCAGATATTGGGGTGGACGTTGCAACGCTTCCCTTGATTGAGCCGGAGTGTGTTGAAGAACATGTGTCTGCCATTGTGGATTGGTACGAGCGGGGAGTAGTACGGCCTATCCGCCCGGTTACATCGTTTCCTGCCAGAGGGATTGAATATGCCTTCCGACACCTCTAAAAGGGACAACACATCGGCAAACTCCTTATAGAGTTCTCCGTGTCCCCAGATCTCCCATTGGCGTCGTCGAAGCCGAAGGCGGAATTCCGAGCTGACAGAGCCTACCTGTTAGTCAGCGGAATGCGTGGCATCGGTGCATCAATTGCAAGGTAGATAGTGTCCAATGGAGCCAGGAATATCGTCTTTCTTTCTCGATCAGCCAGCGAGAGAGACGAAGACAAAGCACTCGAGCGCCAGTTTTCCGATATGGGGTGCCAGATTTTGGCGTTTGTCGGTGATATTATTGAATTGGAAACTGCTCGATGAGTAGTCTCCAGTGCTCCTGTGCCAATTGCTGGCGTTCCATAGTTAGCTATAGTACTTGCCGACACCGAATAATAGACATAGATATCGGGAGGTGGAACCCAAAGTTACTAGAACTTGGAACCTTCACGAGGCTGGAGAGACGAATGACAGTGGACTTAAAGGGCCTCTTTCCATCGTCCAGGACATCCCAAGACCTTGAACGACGCGTCGAGCGTTCAAGTTGTTGCAAGAGAAATAGCCCGCCAGGTTACTATTTACATGATACACAATGTCGACCAGGAATTGGACCTGCCTCTATCTCTGGAGAACTTTGGAGTGGACTCATTGGTCTCAATAGAACTCCGCAACTGGCGGAAGCAGGCGTTCAGGGCCGACGTGATGGTGCATTAGTTGATGAATAGCGGCAGCTTAATGGGCTTGGGTCAGAAGGCGGTGGACAGCTGAAGCTGAAGCATTTGAAGGCGTAGAACTACGTGGGTGACGGAGAGATCCGAGTTCTTGTTGACAACGCTGCAGCACACGACCGACAATCGAAGGATGTTTCAGCGTAGTAGTCATCACCGCTCGCGTAGATTTTAGACTGGATAGACATGCCTGGAATTCTTCACTTTTAAACCTACCCTAGGGTAGGTCACTCTCTGACCGGTGAATTGTTGAGCTTAACTCTGTTCACTGAAAACTTTCGTGTCTCTAGATATAGTACGAGGGGCACATATAGAGAGGATTGCGTTGTGTAATTCTGTAGGTAGGGTCCGTAGCTAGGTCCGTGCGCCCACAAGTGGTGAATGCGTTAAAGCCGAAAAGTCTGAGCTATCCTGTTCTCTCTTACCTCCCCGCCCACATTTCCATCTCTCGTTCAACATTCTCGTAACTCTTTAGGGTTTCCATAATCTTACTAATGGGTTTTGACAATCACCGTTCTGGCGCATCTTGAACGCCCGCTCACTCAGAAGTAGTCGGTTCTGCTAATTACGATCGCCTCCCTCCGACAGACATTGCAAGATAAGCCGTGTCTGAGAGATCAAAAGAGCACGCCAGCTAGATTTGAGGGCAATCAGCCTCTCGTGGAACACTTTCTGGCTTCAATGTTAGGCTTCTAAGAGTCCCATCAGCGAAATGGATGGCGTCGATGAGATGCAGGCAGATACCATTGATTCGATCCCCACGAGCAAAGAAAAGGCAAGCATTGTCGCACACGACGCCAAATCTTCTGCCAGGTCGGTGGAACGTCCCAACAAGCATAGTTTTGACTACGTCATACGATCAAGTGTTGCTGGAGGAATTGCAGGCTGTGTGGTGAGATAAGGATATTTGCTACTTTCATGACCTGTGGTCGACTGACAGTTATACCAGGCCAAAACAGCTGTCGCTCCTCTCGATCGCGTCAAAATCCTGTTCCAGACCGCCAATCCCCAATACTCCCATCATGCGAACACTTGGATGGGCCTCGGTCGGGCTCTACGAGATATATATGGGCGACAAGGAATACGGGGCCTATTTCGCGGTCATTTGGCAACTTTGCTCAAGATCTATCCCTACGCAGCTCTGAACTATGCCGCTTACGAGCAATACCGAGCTCTTCTCATTAGTCTAAAATGCCAGGAGACGTGGATACGAAGGTTCTCAGCTGGTGCATTGGCAGGAGTAACTACGGTCTTCTTCACATATCCCCTGGGCCTCTTACGTGTCCGTTTGGCCTTTGAGACGAAGACTAAAGGCTCCTCGCTGGTCAGTATGATCAGAGAAATCTACCACGAACGGACACACTCTTTCGCAAGTCCCCAGTCGACGCCTAGGATTGCTCACGAGGTTTCATCACACGCCATTGCGACCACTTCGACTGTACCCCTGCACAAAGCGTTGGCTAATTTTTATAGAGGCTTTTCCATCACATTACTGGGCATGGTTCCGTATGCCGGCGTGTCATTTCTATTGCATGATACCATAGGCGACTTGTTCCGTTTACTCTCAATACGAAGGTACACAACGCTTCCACATTCTAAGAACACCCCGTCAGACCAGCGAGCGCCGTTACGTGCCTGTGCTGAGCTTACATCGGGAGGCCTTTCAGGGGCAATATCACAGACAGTTGCCTACCCGCTAGAGGTTACTAGACGGCGGATGCAGGTCGGTGGCGCTGTCGGACACCGTCGTCATCTTAGCATAAGAGAGACGATGGGTACAATATTTAGAGACCGAGGCATATCTGGGTTCTTCGTCGGCTTAAGCATTGGATATGTCAAGGTTGTTCCCTTGGTTGCTGTGAGCTTCTATACGTATGAAAGGTTGAAGATGCATCTCGGTATTTAGGCAGGGAGGGACTAAACGCATAGTTCTGACTAATAATCAAGACATGGTCAGTTACAAAACGAAATATCAGTTACCAACATGATCGTGTAGATGTGCTTCCAGTTTTACGGTATGTGACGTATCAGTAGGAGGCGATCATCACGTGACTATCGATTCACCGTCCCAGTATTAACCCGTCTCCAGTTTCTGCCTTGGCGTTTCCACTTCTTCCCCCACTTATTGTTGAAAGGGAATATGATAGCATTAACACATTGCATTGGTCCTCACGTGGTTAGGAATTGCCCAGACGGGGAGTCAAGGTTCGGACCGAGCCGTCGAAGGTACGTTAATGCCAAGTCGTTCGAATAGCGGGCGGTGTCAACGGAGTTACGAACTTACGACAAACAACCTAGGGCCCAAGGCGGCTTATGCATGCGTGGGGGGTACCCGTGCTTCCTACATCGGCAGGACACTGATAAGCTATGGGTATCACTCGATGCCTAGCCCTCTTCGAAACTATTCGAATCTACCCCGCGCGAGAGGCTTGGCGAACCTGTCGGCAATCTGCCCTGCAGTTGGGATACACTTTAATTTAACGGCTCCAGCCTCGTAACCCTCTCCTTGCTACTTGCGTTGGATGTCTATATGCTTCGTGCGTGAGTGGTACTGAGGTTTTGAGGACACTCTAGCGTAGGGTTTTCCGCCTTGGGAGCAATTTAATGATTGTTATGCATCTCAAATTCTATACTCCATTGTTATCGTGATTGACTGGAGTAATATTGGTCACATTCATTTAGCACAGGGATTGTAGATTACCACGTACGGCAGGGAGTCACATTGTCCTGTCTCGATCACAAGGCTAGAAATTGCCGAGCCCCTTAAGCACTGTTCTCTTTCGCTGCCATTTTGGCCTCGTCAATCAGAAACTCTGTCACATTCATACGCGCTGAGCCCCGCGCCGAAGGAGCTTATTACAGAATAGACGCAATGGCTTTGCTTTTGTTGGCATGGCGGGCGCGTCTACGGCTAGTGGATATGATGGACGACCTCGTGCGGTCTTGACGTTCAGCCCAGCTCAGCCTATGCGGGAAGATGAAGTTGACTGCCGCTGCTGCTGCCTCAGAATATTTTGTGCAGCGTTTCTTTTCTATTGCACGCTGCCCTCCCTAGTCGCAATGGCTGACAGCGCGCCAACACTCGCGACGTGCACAACAACGTTTGATGACATCTCAAACAACTATGGTATTGTTGCTGGCCCTGTGTCAGGCTCAGCGCAAGTAATCGGTGCGTTTCATAAACATCGATGTCAGACAAGCTCGAACGTTACAAACTACTACTACCTAGGCAAGCCGCTAACGTTATAGCTTGTACACCGCGGGAGGTTCCCCGTAGGATTCCAGCAAGCACTAACGGTAGCACCACCTAGAACGACCAGAGCTCCACCTCGTCCGTTCGCCAAAATACCCTTTCCCCGCGATTCCAACTTCGTAGAGCGAGGGACGATACTCGATCAGGTCCGCCAACGATGTGCCGTGCCAGGCTTGTGGGCTGCGCTCGTCGGCCTAGGCGGTGTGGGGTGAGTAGTGCAATCTTATCGCGACCAGAGGTTGACTGTAGAGAAGCAAGTCGCAGCTTGCCATCGAGTATGCGAACCAGGCGCGTGAGCGATTAGCTGAGACGTGGGTGCTCTGGGTCATGGTGTTTAATAGAACGTAACTGTTACTGTCAGTAGTGTTTTTGAGGCGTTACTGGCGGCAATAGGGTTTTGTTCTTACGGAAAGAGTGAATTAAAACAGCCTTACAGGCAGTAACAGTTACTGCCAAGTTAATTAATAGTAAAGTTACTGTTTAGTGCAGTTACTGCAGCAACTAGTGTTACTAAAGGCTCTAGAGGGCTCAATTTTAACACAATCTTGCTAATATGCTCTTTACATGATATCTAAGGCCCCTAGGTTTCAGCTAGAGGTCGCAAGTCTAGATATTGTCCTGAAACTCGTGAGAATAGAAAAACTAGAGGACGAGGCCTTAATTATAAGAGCTCCTAGAGGCAGCCCTTGACTTCTTAAGACGACGAGAGCTTGCGAGGTGTTGAACTGGCTGCGAGCTTTGAGTGCAAGGAGTTACTTCACTGTTCTGTACTAACAATGGATAGTATAGGCAGTTACTGCAGTAACTATAGCCTCATTAACTGTACAGTAATGGAAGGCAATTCACTTTCGTTCTAACTGCCAAGAGATTGTTACTATCAGTAACAGTAGGAGCAGTACTACGTTCTATTAAACACCATGCTCTGGGTGCAGCGTTGAAGGTTGTAGAGCAGCGGGACATCATCACCGTGAAGCCGATGGATGAGGCCCAGGCGCGGACACTCTTCGAAAAGAAGCTAGAAGGGACTAGGAAAGTGAACAGCATCGACGTTGACGAGCTCACAGCGGCACTAGAGTACATGCCGCTCGCCATTATGCAGGCGGCGGCCTACCTCGCCCAGAGAGGACCTCGATGCCCGGTGAGACAGTACCTATATGGGTTCAAGAAGAGCGAGCGCAAGCAATCTAGCCTTCTCAACCGCGACGGGGGACAACTTCGTCGTGACTGGGAGGCAAACAACTCCATTATAGTTACCTGGCAGATCTCTTTTGAGCACATTCAGCAGACGCGGCCCTCCGCCGCCGAGTTGCTCTCGCTCATGAGCTTCTTCGACCGGCAGGGAATACCTGAGGAGCTGCTTCGGAGTCGAGCCACGCAGGCAGGTGCTAGCAACCAGCAAGAGCAGGAATAGAATGGCCTTGAGAGCGACAACGACGACGATACGTCACAGTCCAACGAGGGTGACGGCGAGTTTGAGGAGGAAGTATTGACCCTGCGAGACTTTTACTTGATCTCTGTCGAGACGGGCGGGGCAAGCTTTGAGATGGACTTACTGGTGCGACTAGCGATGCGGAAGTGGCTAGATGCTAACGGCCGGCTTGAGCAATGGAAGCAGCAGTTTATCAGTGGTCTCTGTGCAGCCTTTCCGACGGGAGAATATGAGAACTGGGCAAGATGTCGGACACTTTTTCCGCATGTCAAGTCGGCAGCAGGGCAGCAGCCGGAGAGAAACGACTCACTGGGCGAATTTTCTACAATACTGCACAGAGCAGCATGGTACGCATGGAGGATGGGAAACGGGACAGAGGCCGGAGAGATGTCTGTTCAAGCGATGAAAGCGAGGAAAAGGGTGTTCGGTCGAGAGCACGAAGAAACACTGGGCAACATGGCGTAGGGGTGGATGGGAGGCAGCAGAAGCACTGGAGGTGGAAGTCGTGGAGACTTTTAAGGAGAAGCTCGGGCCAGACGACCCCTTAACGCTAACCAGTATGAGCAACCTAGCTTCGACGTATTTTAGATAAGGTCAATGGGAGAAAGCTAAAACGCTGTTTGTGGAAGTGGTGGTAACTCTTAAAAAGAAGCTCGGGGCAGACCGTCCCTCGACGCTGACCAGTATGGCTAACCTAGCTTCGACGTACAGGAACCAAGGTCGGAGGGAGGTAGCCGAAGCTCTGGAAGTGGAAGCGGTGGAGATCCCCAAGAAGAAGCTCGGTGCAGACCATCCATCGACGCTGACCAGCATAACCAACCTGGCATTAACGTACGGTAACTAAGGTCGATGGGAGGAAGCTGAAGTGCTGGAGGCAGTGTGTCCAACCGTTAGTACACCTAATAGTACAGTACTGCAGTACACTGATTTTGGTCACGTACGTACGTACAGGGCATCTATTCAGTATACTGTACTATACATGAGGCTGTTGTACTAACCGTTTACGGTAGTTATATAGGATTTTTGGTGGTTTTGGGCGGTTGAAGGCAGGTTGCTGAGGGCCAGGGGGCTCGTGTTCGGAGATTAATGCGGAGAATGCCGTTATTGCCTGTTTTGTTAGCAATCTTCTAACAAATTCAGCAACTATGCCATCTACGTTATTCTTTTGCCCATTATGATGTCCCAATTCCTATCCCAATCAACGACGCGGTCGACAATAGAGGCTCTTCAACTGCAGAAGAATTAGTTACGTAACAACGCTGTTACTAGTGAGCTGACTGAGCTTACAGAGTACATTAAAACAGTGAGATCAACAACAGTAGATCTCACAAGGGGTATCACAACTTCCTAATTGGGTATAGTCTTTAGCTTCAGCGCAATTACTTCATAATACTTCAATATACTTCAGTTACTGTATCCTAACCGTACACTGACGTCATCTCCTCCGTACAGTTAGTTAGTAACAGCCTCGTCTTCCGTAACTGTACTATACAGCCTCCAAAAGGCTCCGTAACTAACGGTTGGACACACTGGCTGGAGGTGGAAGTAATGGAGACTCGCAAGACGAAGCTGGAAGACGACCATCCCGACACGCTGACCAGCATGGCCAACCTAGCTTCAACGTACTGTAAGCAAAGTCGATAGAAGGAAGCCGAAACGCTGTCTGTGGAAGTGGAGACTTTTAAGAAACTTGGTGAAGACCATCCCGACACGCTGACCAGCATGAATAATCTTGCCTTCACGTGGAAACATCAGGGACGGGATGCTGAAGCAGCAGCCCTTATGAGGCAATGTGTGCAATCGCGCTGCCGTAAGTTAGGCGTTGACCATCCTGCATACATTCCTTCATCAACAGCGCTAGCTGAATGGGAGGTAGAGCAAGTGAGTAAGAAATTCTTGGCTCTGACCAGCCTAGATGCACTCGACAGCTAAATAGCCAAAGAGCATATAGTGGGTATGATGAGGTGACGCTAGCGGATTGCACAGTAATTAGCTCACACCCTTTGGTGCTATAATTCCTATTTCTTCTATCTAGAATTAATGCTTTCGTATAATAGGAGTTTTTTATGACGCCCTCTGTATGAAAGATTGCTTGTTCTTATAGTGATGGTATGCAAGAGATGTACGTATGGAAGATGTAGCTTGTACCTGAGCTGTCGGCGCCACAAGGTGAGCAGGTTGGCAAGTCGCCACTACTGGCAGGGAGGATGGCCGGCCCGCTCCAGTACTGGCCTTGTAAGGTGGCAAGATCTGTACAGTAAGTATTCTCAGAGAGTTGAGTTGGTTAACCGGAGGATGGCTAAGGTTGGTTGGCTTGCTAAGACCCTGCATAGCCACAGGCCTGACATCTACTTTAAGGAAATTACTTTATTATGATTAATTACGTGGGCCAGTGTTGATTTAAGCCAGCTGGATTAGTGCTCGCTTTGATTAGAGGTACTGACCTGCGTGGCGACCTTGCATGAATCTTCGCGCGATAGCAGCTATAGGGCTAATTATGACTTTCTAACACTGCAGTAAGGCCTGCAGGTTTAGATATAACTGTTCTATAGGTTTCAATAGCAGGAAGAGCTTAATAGTGGCGCTGTAGTAGGAGAAGTCAGTTTTGCAATAAAAGGAGGCCCTCTGCAAACTAGGCGCGGTGGCAACAATGCGATGGTAATCTTTAGTAGCAAGGGTGCTTACAGGTTTAAAATTGCGTATTTTATATAGCAGATATTAAAGTGTGCACGGAGTCTAAGCTGTTCGAAGTTAAAGTACCTATAGTTTTTCTCGTTAAGGGGGGTTCTTGGGATGCAGGGACGGACATTAAGTTCACCTTCCACCCTTGATTGCGGACTTCCACGCCCTCCCGAAGGGTATATACCACTGCACGCCACCAAAAGCAATCAAGTCACCCATCAAAAGGCCCATATAAAATCCCTTACATAGCACTCATCCACTCGCAAATCCCACTATCATGTCACCTCTCAAATACTACATCAATCGCTCCACCATGACGCCTCCAAATCCTAACCTCAACCTCACGAAAACGTCGTCAGGTACCGCTTCATCCCTCGAATCTCCTCACCCAACACCCTCAACCCGCAAGGCTCTCAGGCTATCAGTCCAATTACCCGGGTCTCAACCTCAGCTATGGATTTACATTGTCGTCTAAAGGCCTACAACTCTCGTTCTATATCTGAGTAGCGCCCCCGGAAGGAGAGAAGACCGGCGGATCTGAAGGATCGAGAGTGGGAGGGTGTTGATAATGAGAGGATGTTGAGTCCAACGAGTTGGAGCAGAGAGCAGAGTTGGGGTAGGGGGTTCGTTTTCTTGGCTGAGGGGAGGGAGTGGGTTTCATGGGAAGAGGGGTATGGATAGTGAGATTGAAGGTGGTCTGGGAGGTGAGAGCCAAAGGAAGAAGGAAGAATGTAAGTGCGGAATTCTTTGAGAAGAGAGTTGCGGAGGTCTGGCTGAACAAAGAGATACCAATAGTTTTCATAATTCCCTCTTGGCAAGCCTCCCTCTTTCTTCCACCCTCCACCCCTCTACCACTTCTTCAAATCCTTAACCAGATCCTTCCCCCAACTCACCGCCATCTCAACAAAACTAAAAGGGACTTTCCAATCCAACATCCCCATCCTAAAATAGGCTTCAAAAAAACCCCACCCGGTCCAAAGCAGCCATACGCAAACCCAACACCAGCCTAGAATCTGCTTCATCCTCCGCCTAACCACACTCTGTCTTGGAATCTCGCCTCTTATTTCTTCAACCCTAGTCTCAAGACTATCTACAATATTCAGGAATTGCATTTCGATAACGATACCAACGATCTGCGCCATGAAGAACACGAGATTCTGACGGTAGAGATAGGATTTTGGGACTGGTGGTGTGGTTTTGAGATTCCCGAGGGCTAGTGCATGGAAGAAGCCTGAGATGAAGAATCCAGTTGAGAGATGCGTGAGATAGGACCATGTGGTATGATTTGGAATCCTCAATATTCTTATTAAGGCCTTACTGTAGCCAAGTATGCACTAGAAGCCAAAAATTAGCAACACAAAAGAATTCAAGGAATACACGGGAGGAGAGCAAGCTAACATGGTGAAGTATCCCCTGCCAATATCTCCCCCAAAATCCCCCTACCGTCGTACAATCCCCCAGGCTTCCAAAAAGACTTGGCCAATTCGCCGGCCTCGAAACCCCAATCCCAACACCAATCAAGCTCCAAAAATACCACATCAATTTCCAATTACTTCTAATCACAAGCGCGTACGCACTCCCAACAACAAACCTATCCCGCCAAGACCCATTGAGCGCATTTTCAACACCGTACGCGTTCACGAACGCGATACCCGCGTCCACCAAGAGGTACGAAAGGCAGAATCCGGCGACCTGGTGGATGAGGAATCGAGTTCGCTGACTGTTCGTGTATTTCGGTGGAGGTATACTTTTAACAATGAAGTTCCAGCCTACACCCCTGGGATTCGCGTATAGTTCTGCCGCCCATTGGATCTTCTTCCAACCAAACCCCATTTCTAAGGCTTCTTTCTCTGTTCCGGTTACTTCATCCGCCTCCCTTTTCCTATCTATCCTCCCCCCATGAGATCTGGCGCCAACCCTCCAAACCTCCTCTTCCGGAACCCCACAAATCAATTTCTGCACAACAGGAAGATAATAGAACCAAGAATTCATAATACCATATCGCATTTGCGCTTCAGACGGCCATGGTGAAACAAACGTGAGATACACGATGGAGGCGATTACGACTGTGCATAGGATCCCGCGGCCCTTGAAAGGTAGGAGGGAGAGAGACAGGATGATGCTGAGAGGGAGAAGGGCTTGGGGCAAGATTGAAAGGGCTGTGGTGAATGCTGGGGAGAGGGACATGATGGATGGAGTTTCGAATTCTTTGGGGGGTAGGGCAGAGGAGGGATGGGATGAAATGGGTTCTAGGGCATAGTCTTATATGCTTATATTGGTGTCACGGGTTGCGTGGGTCTGGTGAGGTCAGGTGAGTTGGCGCTTAGTCGCGAGCGGGCTTGGCAATCCGGAGGTACGCGAGCTAACATTGATCGCTGTGGCCGCTGATGGGATTTCTAGTAAGTGAGTAGAGGCTTTGAAAAACGACATATTTGAACCCGCGCAAAGTCTTGGAATCAGCCACAATTTTAGTCGGTTACCTTGAGACACTGAGAGCCAGCAATGGTAGACTTCGGAATATGTTGCATATCTCGAAGTCGCACACCAAGGCGTCCATCATATTATAGATCAGAATCGAAAGCGACATGGAAGATGGGCGCTCGAGAACACCAACCAAGACCACCAGTACAATTACAGAAGTTCCAATAGTGAATCAGTGTTATGCAGAATGAACCGGGCCTTATTCTGGTTTCTGGGCATATACGACATGCCTGCAAAGGCCATCAGTGAATGGTTGATATTTGTTTTGGTGATAGTACTTACAAGTCATACATAGCATGCGTAGATTTACTTTTGAGTTCCGCGCGAACCTTTGCGCACATTATCTCGACTTCTTCCGGCCGCCAGTTGAGAACGTTGGTAAAAAGTCGCATCGAGAAGCCCTCCAGACCATCCAACGCCTGAACGAGGTTGAATAGCCCTATGTCTTTCTGCCTGAAGCATTAGTAACACGATCGCTACGTAACGGAAAGCAAAAAGCCGTACCTGACGTTTATCCTTCGCCCACGGCCCAATAGGAAGTTTGTACTTCTGATGCACGACGTTCTGGAATCCCGCCTGCCTCACCCACCCTTCAATCTTCGGGCCGGGACAAGGATCCCTCCCGGCATTTCTAGAACTGTCGAGTAGGATCTTCAGCCACTGGGCGGTCGCGCTTGACTCGTTGAAGCTCCCATCCTCGGAGTAATATTGCAGATCCAAATCCTGAAATTCCACCCACCCGCCAGGCCTTACATTACTATACACCTGCTCGACCAATTTCGGCCAATCGGCCACGGAAAAGCACAGCGTGCGCAGGAAAACGAGATCAAACGGCGTGCTGAAAGCCCATTGGCTCTCGAAGTCATCGACCTCGAACCTGACGTTAGGAGGCACCCACGACGGCTGTATCGGGCTGAGGTCGTTGCCGAGGATTTCGGCCTGCGGAAACGCATCGCCCATCTCGATTGCCCAGATGCCGGTGCCCGTCCCTACATCTAGCACTTTGTGGAAGTTTCGGTGTGGCGCGAGGAAGAGTTTGTCGCCGAGGGCTTTCTTAAGCATGTGATGCACCACGTTCATTCGCTCGGCTTCGAGTTCGTCGTTTGGGAGGGGGTAGCTGCCGGATTTGAAGGCGTGGTAGCGACGGCCATTTTCGAAAGGGTATTTGGAGATGCTGCCCGTGATTGACGTCGTGAATGAGTTTCTATGTGGGTTAGACGGGAGCGGGGGATTGGGGCAGGAGACGGAAGGCGCACAGCTCGTCGGTGAAGTCTGCAAAGGAGGAGCCGTCGTCCTGGATGACCTGAGCGTGCTTACGTTAGCTATCTCGAGGGAAGCTAAGCAGGCAGGATGAGAATACTGGCACTGTTTCGAATGGGGAGTTGTTCATAATGCAAGCAGTCTAGTGCCCTCGATAAGCCTTGTGAGCAGCGCAAACATACCTGGGGGTCAATCTCAATGGGCGCAGGCTCAATTGTGGTAGTCATGACGCCGACAGAAAGCAGACGTCGAGTCCAATGACACGGCAAAGGTGTGTGGTCTGGACTTAAAGGCGTTCTTCTATTGAGGGGACGTGAACCACGCTGATGAACGACCCCCAAAAATGGATGGTCTGGTCGAATACGGACGTCACACGGCGGCCCTGGCTGAGCGCAGACTTAAAAGGAGTCCCATGCGCACCGGTGCACTGGGGCGGAATCCCATTCTCGACAGGGAATTTTGGGTGTTGCATTAATGTGCGTGGCCATGGCGAGATGAGCTGCTTGCTGAAACGGGACTGATGATTGATGCTTCGTCCAGATCAACGAGGCTGCAGCCCCGGTTCCGTGCTTCCCCGCACCAGCCGAGGCCTCTGTGACTTCAACACCATCTCTCCGTAGACTCCATGCCCATCCTGTCCTTCAGCTTATCTCACCCTTTCTTCGCAGAACTAATATATGATGGACTGCGATCGAAGAGACACACTTTCCCCACTGGGTTACTCCGCCCTTCCGCTCCCGGTCGGTACATGGAGTCGTTTCCAGTCGAAAAGCCTCGTACGTCCATGCCCTGCAGCCATGCATGCCACGTTCCTTCGGCGCCAACCGCTCCACTGTGATTGTTTGTGTCCTGCCTCTCCCTGCAGCTCCCTGCACGAGTGGCCCGATTTTGCTGGAAATAGGGAGCCCTGCGACTCGTTGCACTACCAATGCCGCGTCTTTCTCCCGTCGACATGACTTTCTCTCTTGTTTGCTACTTCTCTCACGCCATGCTTCATCGCAGTGCTACGTCGGAATCAGGCGAGCTCCTCATCTTGATAGCTTCGGTGCTTAATGCCTGTTTCGAGCCCGTGTTGGAAAGTCATCGATTCTGCCCCACACACGCTGCGGCCCGTATCGCGACCATCCACCACATTCCAGGGATTATCGCGTGGTCTCACGGACCTCGATCCCGAGACACGGCAGCGGGCTCCCAGGCACACAGAATTGCAGTGCTATCAAGCTCCTCCTCAGAACCATTATTCCCGACTCGCACTCGCATTCCCAATGCACCGGGTCCTTGCCACCTTTGATTAGTTTTGAATCCTGGAATTCCTTGCTTCCCATTTCATCCTCAAAACCCTCGCACGCCTAAAAATAGAACCCACATGGACCTTCTATCCGAAATATCAATTCTGACGGCCAAGTTCCACGACCTTTTGTCAATATCCAGCCACACGAGCCTCATCTCACCGGCAACCCGCTTCCGTGCCAGATCCGCTGCATCATTGTGTTCTCAATCGAATCTCAGTTGGCTGAGCCTTGATTTTGAGTAGGAAAATTACTGGATCCTTGTGCTTCAAATTGCCCCAACAAACCTGGAACGACTGCCTGCCTGCAATCTCTTCCCGGCTCAAAAGGCTGAACAAGGATGGTATGTCACCATGTAGCGTCAATAAATCAGATGTTTCAGCCTCCAAACACGGCACTTAAAACCAATAAAATCCCATGCTAACTAACGTGAGATCCTCCATCCACACTCAAAGTCCATCCGTATTTGTGCAAAAAAACGAACCCCAATAATTGACAAGGCAAGTTCCGATATGTTTCCAACCCTTTTCATTCCAGGCTACCAAAAATGCAAAAACATACAACAGCAGGTATTCGCTAGTGGTCACCCACCTAACTACTAATCCGCCGGTACCAAGGTTGTCTATCGAAGATCGAACGGGGTTCAGACTTTTCTGGGTCCTATGGTTGTATGTGCTTGAACGTCTCATTATAGCTGTATATATAGAAGTACACATTCCGGTAAAATAAAAGTATTATCGAGTAAAAGGCTACTGGTGAGCGATTTTTAGAGATACAGGGATATAGGAGTAGTTACTTCGCGCTAGCGGTACTGGTAAGAAAACTCGGATAATTGACGGTTGTCGAAGTTAGAACAAGTGAGGCAATAAAGTGTCAACCTCACTTCTCACCTCTCTCGACATAGCGCAATCGCTCCAATCATATGGTTTACAGCCACATAAATCCCGGCTAAACTTGCTACAACTGCAATCTACTCCCTCTTAGTTTCAAAATCTCTTAGACATAATAAAAAACAGGTAACGTACCTAACAGGTTGGCCGGCCACTTTTGCCAAGCCCCCACTAAAACCACCCTATTCTAGCGCAAAACAGCCTACTTTAGCCCTGTATAGAGTAATACAACATAAGATATTATTTAGAGTCTACTTCTGCTACTTTCTTACATGTATATAAGTTATGCCTAGTCTAATTACACTGCCTATATTACCTTTAACTTAGCTTACCTTCTTTAGCGCGCACCTGTGTCTTTAGCTTTTTTCTATTACTACACACTTTAAACTTTTTTAAAGTAGTTAAATAAGCTCTATTCTTAACTATTAAAGTTTTTTTTGCTTAAATCTACTTTTTTTTATATAATCTATGTTATGTAGCAGCCTTATTGTTACAATCCTTACTCCGGGGAAATGGTGATTCCGGAGTACAACGGCCTTTTGGTTAATAGTGCGGGAGGGGAAGAACTTAGCTGGATTGGGTGTACAGTCCGTTCAGCAGAGTGTAGGTGTAGCAGAGTTCAGGAGGCAGGCTGTGGTTTCCCCCTTGTAGCTGTATAGGTAGCTAGGGTGTACCTAGTTAGGTAGATAAAGGTTAGAGGTATATATGTTGCAAGGTATATAAGGCAGCTAAGTCCTCTTTATAAAGAAGCAAAGCTTTTTAGTCTATTATAAAAAATAAACTAAATATTAATTATAACCTTTTAGCTATAGTTAAGATTAAGACTATATATAAATGTGTTGCATGCTTGCATGCTTGCATGCTGTTTTCTTTTATAGCCTATAAGCGCACAAGCCTGCAACTTTTATTTTATTAGATAATGCACTCTGCTAAGCATTTATCTATAAAATAGCACTATTCTTTTTTAGTTCTGTTATATAGTCTACTAATTGCAGGTTTAAGCGTTTTCTATCTAATGTTGCCTAGGCTGTGTAGGACAGTAAGCTAAGTTACTGCAGTCTGTTTATTAGCTGTAACATGTAGGCTTCCCTTCTAGTTAGCGTCTTTACTAATACATTCTTTTTATTATAAGTGTTAGGTTTTTTTTTTTACTAGTGTATATTTTTTTTTAAATGCTTAGTGTATATCTATTTTTTTTAACTATGCCCTACTAAGCTTTATGTCTTTTTACCTCTGTTTATTAGCTTTGCACTGTTGCTTATCTTAATCCTCTTTATTATACAAAGATGTGTCCCTGCAGTGCTTGTTGCTCTAGTAGCTCCTCTTACATAATGTCTTTATTATTAGATAAATGTGTAAAGTGTGTTTATAAAGGGTGCTATTATAACACATTTATGTCTAATACATTTTAGGACTATTTAGAAAAGAAGTGTAAGAAGTTGTTAGTTAAATTAAAAATAGCTTAAAAAAATAAGATGTGTAAGAAGAAAAAGTCCCTAGCACACCTTTAGTCCTCTGTTGCTTATTAAGAGAGGGTATAGTAGTAGCTTAACCTTTTAGTAAATTAAAGGGTAAAATATTTAAAAGAAGACTTTTTATTACTAAATAAGCTTAAAGCGCTTAAAGTAAAAGCTATAGGTTATTCTTCTCTACAACTAGCGTTAAAGAGTTAGAGAATTTCTACATTGCAGCTATCTAATGCTGTAATGTCCTTTGCTAGTAGTAATGCTTTCTAGGCTAAGGAACTTTCTTTAGGCTAGTTTAACTTAAAGGGCCTAAGCAATATTCCTAAAGGGCCTCCTAGGTATTCTACAAATTTGTAATAAGTTCTTAAGTACTTTTACTAGTAAGATACTTTTTTTACTTTACTAGGTACTAGCTACTCTTTTTATTTAAAACTTTTTCTACTTTATATTCTAGTTCCTTTTCTTTCTATCCTGTTATAGCTAATAGAATGTCTTTAGGTGCTAGTTCTAGTTTAGAGACATAAAACTAGAGGTAAATTTTTATTTTCTTTAGTAGTTTAAGCTTACATGCTTTTAAGCAAGTTTAGATAACTTTATAAAGTTCTATTTATTTTTTAGCTAGTTTTTTTACTAGGTAGGGGTTCTTAAAATTTATAGTGTCTAAGTATATGTAGTTATGTAAGTGTATTTCTAGTGCTAGTTAGCAATGTTAATTTGCTAGAGCCTTTATTACTTTAGCTACTTACTAAGCTTCTATAGCTAGTTTTTAGTGTATTTTTACTAATTACGCAGTCCTTTCTAAGGCTTTTAGGGGATTAGTTAGCTAAGTGCTGTAAAGCTTGTATCTATAAAGGTAACGTACTTCATGGGCGAGTCGCTCACACACCTAAGTTGCTTACTTTTGCTAAGACCCTACTACACTACTTTTTCTACACTAATGCATTTCTAATAACACTACTTAAACGTGTTAAAAAAATGTTAGATGCAGCTTATACTCTAAGCTTTTAAATAAGACACAACACTTTTTAACTAACACGCTGCAGCTATCTATAGAGTCCCTTAAAAAATAATAAGTAACTAACGCGCTAGATAACTTTCTTAAGCTAATTATACAGCTAACTTATAAAAGCTAGATAATAATAAGAAGCAGGTAATTATTTAGCACATACTTAAGCTAAATGCGTAAGGATTTCCCCTCTAGCTAGTAGCTATAGCTAATATAGCTAATTCTTTACACGCTAAGCATAATATAGGCTATGTTAGTATAAACTAGCTTAATATGTTTATTAAGTGTTACCTAAAGCTTAAAGTAAAGTTTAAGTGTAAGTATAACTATAAAAAAGCTTTTTATAAAGATCTTATAGTAATTTAAAGCTAGTTTAACTTTATAAAGAATATTAAAGCTAAGTATAGCATCTAGAATAACAACATATACAACTTTAACAAGATAGAGTTTATAATAGGCTAGATATCTACTAGAGTAGTTGTTATAAGTTTAGAGAGATAAAGACAGCTAAAAGCAGTCTAGCTAGGCAACTAAGAGTGGACAACAGCTATCTAAAGCATTAATGCTAAAAAGTAGGCTATTCTGCTCTTTATTATTTTTTAGAGTAGCAACTACTTTTTAAACTAGTATAAAAAGAAAAATCTACTTTAGAATTAAGTTATTATAATCTTTAAGCGCAGCTAGACTACTAATTAGCTTAGTCTAGACTAGTTAAAGCACTTTAACACGCATATAAAGAAGTGTACTGTTAGCAGCTACTGTCTGCTAGTTATTAACAGCTATAAGAGCTATAACTTGCTTTATTTTTAGTAATACTATAAGAATAATAAGATTATTACTATTTATATGCCTTTTTACTTATTGCACCTTTTATAGCTACTTAATGTAAGTTGTTTTGCTTCTTTAAAGAAAGTGTATAAGCGCTAAGCTAAAAACTTTATGCGCAACTAAATTACTTATATTATAAAAATAAAATTCCTGCTATGCTTTAAAGTAGCCTATAATGCTGTAATTACTTCTAGTAATATTTAAGAAGGGTTTTAACGCGCTAGATTAGTTCCTTTTAACCTATAATAAGTTATAATAGGCCTTAATGTAAAGTTGCGCACTTTATTACTACTACTACCTGTATATAACAAGCCCTAGTAGTTGTTAACCTTAAGCAATACCTTAGAACTTAGGTTGTAATTAATGCTTATAAAGATAAGGATTTAGAAGCATATAAATAGTTTACTAACTTTTATAGTTAAGGCGTTTAAGAAGGTTTTAAAGGGGGTAGTAATAATTACGCATAAGCTAGTGTTAGTGTAATAGGAAATTACTAAGCTTTAAGCAGCTAATAAAGCTACTATGTAACATAAATTGCATAAAAGAAAGCAGATTAAGGCAGAAGAGACTTTAATAATTTAAAAAGGCCTACGCTTAACAGCTCTAAAGGAGTTTAGGGCGCGCAGTAATAGGAAGAAGGCAAAGAAGCAGGTGTAAGCTAAAGTAGGTAAGCTATCCTAAAGGCGCTGCAGACAGTGCAATTAGACTAGGCATAACGCGTGAACGTGTAAGCAAGAAGTAGAAGTAGTATCTAAATAATATTCTAGGCTGTACTGTACTATATAGTGCCAGAGCGGGTTGTTATGGGCCATAATAGAGTTTGTTAGGGTGGGGTCTTGGCAAAAGTGAGCGACTCGGGTGTGTGAGCGACTCGCCCATGAAGTACGTTATAAATTTACTTACCCTGCTTTAGCAATCTTACACATTATTGCTAATATCTAGAATAAACTAAGAGAACCCTTTATATATCTAGTTTATATATTACTAACTAGTATTAGATAGGTATTAGACATATTAGGATAGTAGAACCTACTTTAAACATAATGTTGCTTATGTAGAAGACATATACGCTAAAGTTATGTAGTTTTAAGAAGTTAACTTTCTTGTTAGCTCTAGTTACTACATTAATAAGATTAAATTTTATATAATGCTACTATTAAATATTGTCTATAAGTTTAACTTATGTTAGTAGAATTCCCTCTAGATTACTAGCTAGGCTACCTCTATCTAGGCTACTAAAATTTATAACGTATTCCACCACCGAACCCGCTAAACCACTGAACCCGACAAAATCTCTTAGCATTGCGAACACCACGTACAAAACTCTAATTTTATTCACAACTAAATAGAGAACCTACGTACAACGTGCCTATATCTAATTCTAGTGCTTCTTCTTTATCCTTTTTGCACGTACAAGCGTTGTGCCTAGTCTCCCTACAGTTCCTACAGCGCTGCAGAGCTAGTTGGGCTCTTTCTTGATTACCACCACTACAAGCCTTCTTTAACTGCTAAGCTACTACAGACGCCTTAGCAGCTACCTGCGCTGCTGCAGTCCTATACTCTATTATGCCACCTTGCTAGATCTGCTTTCTTTTACGCCCCTTACACTTAGTTATGTCTGCTAATTGCTTTTTAAGCTCTTATACGCGCGCCTTTATAAGTATATTTCTATGTAGCATCTTTTTAGCTTTTTTTATAAGCTGTGAAAAGCTTTCTTGTGCTGTTGTTAGTAATTATATAAAGAAATTACATATAAGCTTTA